TGGACAAAGAAGTGAAGAAGAGTGCCAGGAAGGACAAAAGACGATCCTACGACAACCTGGCCACTGAAGCTGAGAAGGCAGCAGGCAAAAGGGACCTGAGGACACTACATCAGATAACCAAATCTCTATCCGAGAAGAGATCAACACAAGCGAAACCTATAAGAGACAGCCAAGGGAAGCCCATTACCAAGGAAGAAAAACAGATTAAACAGTGGGCGGATCGCTTCAAAGGACTCTTGAACCGACCACCACCTGCAACCCGTCCAGAAATACCAACAACAGCGCGCACACAACTGCAAGTTGACACCAATCCTCCAACAAGAGCTGAAGTCTTGAACGCAATCAAACTTCTGAAAGCTGGAAAAACAGCCGGACCAGATGGAATAGCCCCTGAAGCACTGAAAGCAGACCCAGAGACTACAGCAGACATGCTGACTCCATTATTGCAAAAGGTCTGGAAGGAGGGAAAGGTGCCTACTGACTGGAGGAAAGGTTACCTCGTGAAACTACCAAAGAAGGGCGACTTACGCCTCACTCTGCAAGAACTGGCGAGGAATCATGCTCCTATCGACGCCAAGTAAAATCCTGAGTCGCATCATCCTGGAGAGATTAAAGGACGCACTGGAGACAGAACTCCGACCAGAACAAGCTGGATTCAGGAAAGGCAAATCATGTACTGACCAAATTGCAACTCTACGCATCATCATCGAACAAAGCATGGAATGGCAATCAAACCTCTACCTCAACTTTATAGACTTTGAAAAGACCTTCGACAGCGTTGATCGTGAAATAATTTGAAATTCCAAATTCGCATGTGGATGATTTATGCTTCATGTCACACAAAATCGAAGACTTACAAGCGAAAACCGACAAACTGGTCAAAGAAGCAGTCGGCGAAGACATTACTCCAAGTGAACATAGACAAGACGGAGGTTATGAAAATAACCAACCAACAACAGCAAAAACATCCAACGTCAATCACTATCAACGGGAGGATTTGAAAGAGGTTACTTCATTTTTTATTTAATTTATTTTTTGATTACAGCTTGATTCACACCGTATTTTTGGTACGGGTATGGAATTTTCAGCATGGATATCGGTAGCCCAAATTTCGCAGGCCGACCATAGATATCAGGTGTGCGTCGGCGTGGGCTCGAACCCCGGACCATGTGCATGGTTGGCGAGAGTCCTAACCACTGTGCCACCGACGCACCATTCATTCACTTATCTGGAGAACATTGTCTCAACTACAGGCCAGAGGAATGGACGAGAATGTCAAATGGAGAATTGGGAAGGCGAGAAACACATTCATCAACCTGAAATCAATCTGGAAATCTTCGTCACTCAGCATCACCAACAAAATTTGGATTTTCAATACAAAAGTAAAGTCAGTTGTTCTATACGGATCAGAAACTTGGCGGGTCACAAAGAATATTTCCAAAAGGCTGCAGACCTTTATTTGTAAGTTATAATTTACGTGGTACTCAACGGCACAAAGATTCGATAAGGCAGAGCGAATATTCTGCGGAGTAATCTGAGCAGTTATGGGCAAATATCGATCACTAGATCTTTAATAATCGTGCCTACATTTAAAGAACGATTTGGATGATGGAATGGAAACACCAATATAATCGAAGGATAGGAACCAGTGTAATCATATAAGGAAAGCCTGAAGGTTAGTGACGTACAGATTGCCGTGGAAAGTTCGCAAAGGCCACATGAGTTCCTTCATGTGATTGCAAACGATAAATTTTGCTCGAAGCACCGTTGATAAGCATAATTGTGACGCTGTGTCCTTTATTAAATAAAATTGTCTCCTGATCTCATCACCTAAAGTTTGCGAATGATGCCGGTACCTTCGAACTGTTGTTGGTAAGGAGTGGAATATTTGTTCCAATTCTCATTAGGTTCTGGGCTCCATCTGTGTTTCATACTGTACTCTACATTCTTATTTGGTGGGCCCTGTGATTCCCGATAAACTCCCATCCCCTGCTCACAAGATCTCCCCCAAGTCCTCCTCCAAGTTCGTAGTTTCCCATTCGGGTCCTACACAAACGCCTGGCATTTGTCTCCTAAGCGTGTGTCTGATCTATATCCATCTATCTTGGAACATGTGTCGGACAGTAAGTCATTGATTGGTTCACTGCCACTGTGTCTTGTCGCTTATATTTACCAGGCGTTCTATCTTCATTATGGGGAGAAGCAAGCTGAAAGTTTTCATTAGCTATACAAAGGCACTGAATTGATACGCATGTTGAAACCTCGATTCTTGTTCTTCATGGTGTGTGCAGGGGACTTCTAGAGTGACTTCAGAATGGTGAAGGTTTGTCTTGTGTTTGTGATCCTGCCTTTGACAACTTCACCTGTACCGCCTTCACCTGTAACGATACCACTTAGTCAAAAGGGAGAGGGGATCGAAGGCGAATTCTTCCATGGATAGCAAACAGTTCAACTTAATAAATTATTTTATTTACTGGCGTCGGTGGCACAGTGGTAAGAACTCTCGCCCGCCATGCACATGGTCCGAGGTTCGATCTCCTGCCGACGCATACCTGATATCTATGGTCGGCCTGCGAAATTTGGGCTACCGGTATTCATGATGAAAATTCCATACTTGTACCAAATTACAGTGTGGAATCAAGCTGTGAATCAAAAATCAAAATCAATATTTTCTGCACAGACAAAGAATTCCTTGAAACCAATAGTGTACAGATGCAAAATTTCATGAATTCTAAAATTGATCTTTATGTCCTGAAGAATAGTTTGAGAAAGTTTATCATCTGCTAGTCGATCAGATACTATGTGGTGTCTGCCACTTTTACAGCTGTTTGATTGCACTAACATCTGTATCTGTGTTCAGTTGTCCCACGTAAACTACCTACAGCGCGCGCTGTATTTGAAACTGAGCTTAACACGTTTCACATTTTTAATAAGCTTGTGAGTTTGGGTTTTAAGTAAACTATAGACGCCATACTTGGGTGCTAGAATAGTTTACAATGTTTTATTACATTTATCTGAATCCTGCTTTTATTCTGAGAATGGTAAATTTCAAAAGCAATCGGGTATGTGCACCTGAGGTGTCTACTGCATACTACTGGTTTTTCGGACTAATCATGATTCCATAACAAGCAGTCGGATAATCGTCGGTTTGACTGTGCAGTAAGCAGCACATATACTATTTTGGTTTCGCGACGGAGGGCATAAGAGACAGAGTTAAATAAATAATATCGGTAAAAAGTTTGAGCACTGTTGATAAGGCCAAATAAATTATAATTATATTTCAATGGTTCACGCACAATGATAAGTTTTTTGTTTTGAATAGTATTCCGAGAAAGTTTACTGCTTGTGATCACTAACTTTTGGAGCTGTTTTGCTTTAAATTCACACTTTTTTGATTTGTACTCGTATACGTATATATATATATATATATATATATATATATATATATATATATATATATATATATATAGTTCATTTCTTGTTCATTCTCTTCTGTGTACCCAAAAATATATTCCAGTTTGTTGACTTTGAGACAAGATTCCCAGCTGAGACTCTGTCCGCACTGTTAGCTTAAGTAGGACTAGATGGGTTTGTCATAAGCATCAGTATTTAAAACATCCAACTGACCCTGTTGATATTTTTGGCTGGGATGAACCTGTTCAGTTGATTGATAAAGTGAAAATATCTCTGAAGTCAAAGTTTCATAGCGGAAGTCAAGGCCTTCAAAAACTGACCTTCAAAGATAGTTTGTGGTTGGGTTTTCATAGTGTACATATTTAGAATATCTATTGAAAGAATCTGGTGACAATTCCAGGTCGGTGGAAATATTTTACATGTTTTCCCACATGAGCTGAACTTTTAACATCACCACAAGCCTTTATTTAATCATACATTCTATTCCGCGTCTTCCTGTAATTAATTCCACTGTTATTCCATTGTGTTCGCCTTTGCATGCTACTGCCAGACTATGCAACCTCAACGGATGTATTTCTCTGTAAGCTCCAAAGTCGTTGTATATTGATCCATGTAGCCGTATTTCACATACTAGATATATTAGTGCTATGAGCAAGTGATTCTGTTGGGTAACTTTTGAACATTTGCATATTTTCCCATTGCTGACTTAATGATTGAATCTTTACTAGTTGACAACCGTTAATTTAGCATATGCAAATGATATAGTTGTTGTATGTGAAAACGCTGACAAAACACAATGTTCTGAATACCTTGAGTAGAAATTTCGGTATATGGGGCATGCAATCTTTCTTTATCAAATATAGGATGATGCTGCGTGGCTGGACTACATCTATTCCTAATTTATAGTTAGGGAGTGAGGTGGTTGGTCGTGTTGACCAGGTCACTTATATGGGGAGTAATATCAGGGCTTTTGGACGAAAAGTCAGCATAGATACAGAAGTCTCGTGAGACACTTGATAGCTAATGTCATCTTCAACGTAGATGTGATATCTAGCTGCCAATCTAAGGACATGTGTGCTACACAACAGTTCATTCAATCCTTAATAATGGCTGAGACATGACCATCGAAAGTGGAGGACTAACTAAGTGGTGTAATATAATGAGTAATCTTGAAGTCAGTTGTACTGTTCGGTAAGGAGGGAGAATTAATCAAAGAGTTTGGGAAGCGGAATTGATTGAGATATCTAGCGCACGTATCACGCAAGCCAAGGTGTCCATCATGGATTTTATGAAGTGTGATAACTTCAACTGCGAATTTCTACTTTGGAGAATCAGTTCACCTTGTAAAACGGTAATATTTTACTATCTTTTATGTATTCGCTCTAATCTTTCAATATTTGACAGCGAAATCGGGTTTGCTATGACACAAATGTCGAGTATGTTTATATAAATAAATTATTTTTCTTCTAAATGAGCTTGTGTACCGCCTGTTCTCTTAAGGCTCGAATTTTTCTATTAAGTGACTTGGTTACTATTGCTTCTACAAGCTTTTAAACAATTTATCTTTGTTCAGCTAATCATTAAAAATGGCGACTATGGCTGAATTTATACAACAGTCTGAGATAAATGATGGAATACGTTTCTCATGGAATGCATGGCCTATTTCTCGACTAGAATCTGCTCAGTCTGTAGTACCTATTGGATGCTTATACACATTACTCAAAGAACGTTATGATTTTCCACCGATTAATTATGAACCAGTATTCTGTACTCGATGTCGTGGGATTCTTAATCCATATTGTCCGGTAAGTTTGCTTCTTTTTTTAGGGTGGTTGGAAATATCAGTGTAATAATTCACTAGGTTTGTTTGCACGCTGCATTGTTGAATAAAACTTGGTCTGCGTGCATCATCGTACAGATGGGCTCATATTTCGTGTAGAGACTTAGTTTTAGTGTTGATTTTTATATGAACTTACTAACTCAAGATATGTTTTACTCTATTCAGTGATAATTACGGTTGAACCATGTGGTACATACTCCATATTTTGAAATTTATTTCACGATATTAGTGTGTTTGTTGTTAAATTTGAGTATTTCTTTTAGTGGAATTCAGTGTATGATTTAAGATTCAGTTGTGTACTAGTTGGAATAAATTGGAACAACCTCCTAAACGTTTTGTGCATCGGTGATTCAGCGATAGAGTGCTCGTCGACCATGCACGTGGTCCGGGATTCGATTCCCGAACGGCACACTTTTACCTCCCCTAGCCGGTTGAGAAACCCCTTTAGTTACTATTATTATTCAGATGATCAACGTAGAATTCTCTTGACTTGATTGTTTACGCTTCAAAAACTCTCCGTACAACCGACTGGTGTAAATCCTTCGCTTACGAATTTTCAGTAAAGAAAAGATCGACAATTTCCGTTTTAGATTTGAATTACAAAAAGTAGGATATTCCAATGATACTTCAGAAATTTCAAATAATTGGTTTCAGTATAAGCTAGGTTCCAAAGATTTCCTTAGCCAACCGTTCAGATTTGTGCCGTGATATTGCAAGATGGTGGCTTGCATTTTCAGACTCCATAGCCTTATGATGTGTGGTTTGAAATCTCTTCCACTTCAAACGCCACATGACACAAAACTAATCAGGTGTATGAACATTTGAATTCGATTGCAAGTATAGGCTTCTTCAACCAATCTCGTAAAACTAATTTGTGCTTCTATGGCTCTCACTGTTTATCATTTTAAATGACATTTGTCGTGAAATAATTAAGTATCTTTTGAGTTGCCTTTATGTGCAGTCACAATGACAAGAAACTCCATAAATTAAACTACAGTCTTCTTGATGGCAGATGTACAACATTATCAGATGGTCTTTTTAAATGGCTCTGGAGATATTTAACTGAAAAACTAACATTTCTGTGCTGTTCCACCTCCGGTTTGGAATAATGAAAAGTGATGGTTGTTCTCATTCCACTGTGTGAATCATTTTTGCGTATAGTTTTTTAAGTATTAATTGAGACCTCACAGGGCGGAACATACGCCTTCAAGTTTTAAAGCTCTGAAGTTTCAGTAGGAGTAGCTTTATTCTTACAGGGTAGGGTTGCTAGTATCACGCTCAACCTTCCTTCTTCACCGGGTTTACTATCATGTAGGCAAGGGTTAGGAGCGCTTCGGTCGAAGATCGAAGCCCGAACCTTATGCGTGGTTAGCCAGAATTCTACCGCTGCACTACTGACGCAGACTTGCTTGCCACATGCTCTGATACTGTTCTCGTGACTTTTGTTGGCAGGGCTATAGGATAGTACCCGACCTAATAGTTGTGCGCAAGGTTTGAAGAAGTCTGTATGCTATTATGCATGCTCCTCTCCCTGATAATACATTCTTTTGTGGTCTAGGTAGTCTAGTGGATAACATTTTCGCTTTTAGAACTATGGGTACTTAGTTCGAGCCACAGTGGGGTCGACATCACTGGCTCACTGGGGATTGCAGGTACATCCAGATGATGAGTCCCAACTAGGGTGAAATGCGCATTCCAGATTCCAACGCTAGTCACCATTCGAGTTATGAAAAAGGTACAAGTAAGCTGTGAAAGCAATACGATTACTTTGATATAATTATGGGCAGTAACTTGTGATCAAACACATTATTGAATGAATAATGGTGTCACTGTATGCTGTGTCAAACAAACTTATGTAACATAGAATCAACACTCATCATACTTCCAAGTTCTCCTTTATGTAAAAGTAAGGATAAACAAGTAATTTTTCCCATTATGTTACTTAAACATGTATGGGTCAGTGGTCCAGCGGTAGGACCTTCGCCGGCCTACGCACTCCTGAACCTCTCTAAGCCGGTAGTAAGCCTGTTGAAGAGGGAGGGATGGGCGTGAGACCAAGAAACCCATTCCCGTAAGAACAAAACTAATTATACTGGAATTGCGGAGCTCTAAAAGCTTGAAGCCCTTTCTTCCACTCGAAACTTAAAGGAATTCATATATAGTATAGTAATAATCTTTCCTTCACGTTCCCAGTGGAACATAGGGCTTCAAGCTAGTGGCTTGAAGTTTCTGTAGCAGTGTTTAATTTTACAGGATGGGGTTGCTAGCCTCATGCCCAACCTTTCCTCTTTACAAGCATTACTTCTGACTTAGCGAGGTAAAGGAGTGCGCCGGCCGGGTATCGAACCCTGGACCATGTGCATGCTCGGCGAGCGTCTTAACCGCTATGCCACCGACGCACGATAGTATAGTAATACTTCATTTTAATTTTGGATTGCTTCAACTGTCATTAATTTCGTTCCCTGATTTAATTAATTAATCAATTTTATTTACCTAAAGTTTGATATCAGGAGTCGGACATGGACGTGTTGCCTATGCACAATGCGTAATAACTTCCCACCTCAATATGCTGGAATGACTGAACAGAAGTTACCTGCAGAATTGATGGCTCAGTTTACCACACTAGAATATACCATCCCGGTAAGTCACTTATAATTGACTGGCTTATTTATTGATGCATGTAGTGGTGTCGAAACATTTGGTAGCAGATGAATACGTGTTTAATAAATCCCATGACATAAAGGAAGCCTTTACTACTCTTTTCTCATGAATTTCACTTAATTTGCCGAACCAGACAGTCGTTAATACTTTTAAGATGATTTATGGCGAAACTTGTCTTGTCAGAGATATCCTGAGTAAATTATGTAGGTAGCTGTTAGTTGACTGAATATCTCAGTTAATCCCCTAAACAGATTTATCATGTACCAGTCCGTATGAACCACACTTGTTGTTGTGTGAGGATTGGTGATCCTACCCAGTTACCGAGACTGAAGTGGATGGGCCAGGATCCGATACCAGAATCTGTCGGCTGAAAGCCGAATGCCTAAGTTAGTAAGCCAGTATAAGTACCTAACTGTTCAAGATGTCTTCAAAATGGATGTCTTGCTGCAGCCGACTTCGGAGACTGTATAACTGATACCATGTTTCTTGGTGGTGATAAAGTGAACGTGTTAAACCAGTTTGCAGTTTTTGCCAAGTGTCTCTACTCTTTCTCTTCTGATTACACTTTAGGATATGGTCATACTCATCTGTAGGAACATAAGTCCCAGCCACTGTAGCTGGTTGGGTCACTGCGGTATGCAAGCCTGACCACTGCGGCAAGGTAGCAATTATTGGAAAACGATATCATCTTACTGTGCGATAGCATATAGACTGCCTAAATTGCACTTAATCAGATGACGATCACTGTCTGTAATTACGATATGTGCTTTGCACTGTATAAGTGTAAAATACTGTTTCAAGTTTGGTAGGAGCCCTGTACCTGTACTCACTCACTCTTACAGGTGAACCGCTCGAAGTTGTCGATAAATTCGTTTATGTGAGTGCTAGTGGAGGTGCGACCGACGAGATTTCCACCCGTATCATGAAAGCCAGAGTGGCCACCTCTATACTATGAATGTCATCCCAGAAGCTTCCGTTCGTCATCCATGGAACGGAGTGGAACAAGCGGAGACGTGGTCAGCCTATGGCGTGGAGTTGTGGGATGAAGTATATATGTATTAAGCTAACACTGGTTGTTGCACCACGACTTTCTGGTTGGGGTCTGAGAAGTAACTGGAATCGGTGGCTTGAAACGTTATCGGATATGGCGAAGTATCACAACCAGTGGTGAACGTCCTTCTTTGTGACAATAACTCGACGAATGCTGTTTAGTCTTGTTAAATATATCTGCTTTCTCCCCATACGAAATCCTTTATTCATTCTCTACCTATTTATTTTCATAGGTTGTTTTATTATTATTCTTGTGTGACCCATCTTGTTGCCTATGCTAAACCAGGTTTTGTGTCTTAAGTAAAATAATACACTCATCTGTGTAGATAGACAGGTGAACTAAAGGATTCAAAGAGACTGACTGCGTACAGTTTATGTCTTTAATTGGAACTATAAGCAGCTCGAAAAATAGCACTCGTCTACATTTTTAGTAGGCAAATTATAGAGATGACCAGTTTTCATGATTGCAGGCATCGAAGCCTTGTAAAACCCACTTTTGATGGTCACATGAATATCGTAAATTTAAAAATGAGAACTTTAGGTTGATGTGTCTATAGTGTTGTAAATCAAACAAGCTAACCTGGATGAAAAACTTCGACCGGAACAGGCCGGATTCAGGAGAAACAAGTCATGTATTGATCAAATCGCCACTCTACGGATCATCATTGAACAAAGCTTGGAATCACAGTCACCTTTCTATCTCAAGTTCATCGACTTTGAAAAGGCCTTCTACAGCGTCGATCGAGAGGTGATTTGGCAACTACTTCGCTACTACGGGGTGCCATCGACAACTATACATCTCATCGAACAGTTGCGCTCGGGTGTGCTTACGACTGAACGGACGTAGGAAACAGCTGGCGGTAAAACCATCACGTCCCCAGCTCGATCAGGAAACTAAATCCGTATTTCAGGAAGAACTAGCTAAACACATATCTGTGTTCGACAGCTGTGCTCACCCTGAAGAAGCTTGGAAAAATATCCAGGCAGCCATAGATACAGCTGTAAAAGCTGTGAATAAGGTAAACCCAAAGGTGAGTAAAAACCACTGGATCTCCACCGCCTCATCCGAACTGATAGATGCTAGAAGACTTATTCCGGCGAGCTCCGAATTCAATGAGGAGCGAAAGCTGCACAAGAGGAAACTTACGAAAAGTCTCCGCAAGGACCGTGAACAGTGGTGGGCGACAAAAGCCAAAGAGATGGAGAAAGCTTCGAGGATAGGCAACACCAGGCAACTCTTTGGACTCATCAGGGAAACGGGTGGGAGAAGACAAATCATTAGTGAGACAATCTCGGAAAAAAATGGCACTATAATTAGCTCCCAGGATAGACGACTGGATCGTTGGAAAGAGCATTATGAGGAGCAGTTTAATTTGCCCACAGCCACGCTCAACCTTCCGAGCATCCAACACCTCCCTGAATGGGATATAGACACAGGTCCTCCGTCACTAACTGAGGTTACTAAAGCTGTCACCAATCTGAAACTAGGCAAAGCAGCGGGACCTGATGGAATGACTCCAGAGGTATTTAAGTACGGTGGAGACAGCTTACTGTCCGGATTAACTGAGGTACTAGGCAGCGTCTGGGAATCAGAAGAAGTCCCATCGGGTTGGTGTAAGTCACTGATTATCCCCATATACAAGAAGGGAGACAAGTCTTCCTGTGATAATCACAGAGGGATTAGCTTGACTAATATAGTATCTAAAGTCTTAGGCTCAATAATCATGCGTAGACTGAGTGGTGCTCGGGAAGCACAAACACGAGAGAGCCAGGCAGGCTTTAGACCAGGAAGAGGGTGTATTGATCATATCTTCACCCTCCGACAGATTCTAGAACATAGGCATTCCTACCGGCGTCCAACAGTCATTATATTTCTTGACCTAAAGGCAGCATTCGACTCTGTCGATCGGAAGTTCTCTGGAGATGCTTGGCTGTAAAGGGAATTCCAAGAAAATATATTGCACTGATTAAGGCACTCTACTCGTACTCATACAGCCAGGTGAGGGCTTACGGCGAGCTGTCATCTGAACTGATGACGACCAGTGGTGTCCGTCAAGGATGCCCATTATCTCCTTTTCTATTCAACTTCATCATAGATGTGTTAATGGACTTAACCCTAGGTGACTTCAGCGACTCAGGGATTGACTTGCTACCGGGGAATAATCTCGTTGACTTGGAATATGCAGACGATATAGTCCTTCTAGGCGAAGACGCTGACGAAATGCAGAGTCTTCTAAACACCTTGAGCCGCAATCTACGAATGTTTGGCATGCGATTCGCTCCCGCCAAATGCAAGATGATGTTACAGGACTGGACTACATCGACGCCTAGTTTAAAAATAGGAAGTGAAGTGGTAGAGCACGTTGACCGCTTCACTTATTTGGGAAGTACCATCAGCCCCAACCGGCTGATCTCTGACGAAATCTCAGCACGAATACAAGGGGCTCGTTTCGCATTTGTTAGTTTACGCCGACTCTGGCGTAGACGAGATGTTCGACTATCGACCAAAGGGCGGGTGTACTGCTCATCAGTCCGCTCCGTCCTCCTTTATGGTTGTGAGACCTGGCCACTGAGAGTGGAAGACATGAAAAGACTAGCTGTCTTTGATCATAGGTGCCTGCGTTCTATTTCCCGTGTAAAGTGGCATAATAAGGTGAGCAACATTGAGGTTAGGCGTAGAGTTCTAGGTAAACAGGGGAAATCAATCGACGAAGTCGTGAAGCTACAAAGACTGAGATGGTTAGGACATGTGTTACGTATGCCAAGCCATCGCCTCCCTCGACGAGCAATGTTAGCGGATATAGGGTCAGGCTGGAAAAAAGCTAGCGGCGGTCAAACAAAAACTTGGCATCAGTCAATGAAATCCACAACAGTTGGTCTAAGCCACGTAGGAAGGTGTAGACTTCCAGGCTGGGGTCCTCGGGACGGTAAAAATCTATGGTTGGAAACAATTGGTGACATGGCTCAAAATCGTTCTCAGTGGCGCAGATGCATCCACTCCCTGTGACTTATGATCTCCAATGAAACTGTTTTGTATTTCTTTATTACTCCTTTGTCTCACACCTCTGCTCACTGTTTCTATTATGCTTTTCTTGTACTTTCTTCTCTTGCTTCGCGTGCTACACGGAATGTGGCGACTTGAACTTCCGCACATTTGTGCAAAGTTCTATGTCGAAAACAGACAGACAGACATCGAACAGTTATACGACAATGCTGCATGCCGCCAAGTAATCCACAACAAGAAACTCACGGAAGCCTTCGAAGTGAGGATGGGAGTGAGGAAAGGCTGTCTACTATCGCCAATGATCTTCCTGATTGCAGTAAATTGAATAATGCGACAGACAAAGGACAATGAGGAAACAGGCATAAAATAGACTCAAAAAAAACTTGGAGGATCTGGAGTTCGCCGATAATATATGTCTGATTTCCCACAAACTAGAAGATATGCTAGTGAAAAGCAACAAGCTGCCAGAAGAAGCATCAAAGATAGGACTTCAAGTGAACATAGATAAAACAGAGGTGATAAAGATTCCTGGCCAACACCAACAGCAATAACAACAGACAACAATCAGCCAGCATAAATTGGAGGAATCTGAAAGAAACAACCTTCTTCACCTACCTACTTGAGAAGTATCGTTTCAACTACAGGCTGGCGGAACTGACGAGGATATCAAAGCCAGAATCGGGAAAGCAAGACAGGCTTTCATTACTCTTAAGTCTGTGTGGAGGTCAACAGCACTCAACATCAAAAATAACATCCGGATTGTCAACTCCAATGTGAAGTCAGTCAGTGCTACTATACGGATCAGAGACTTAGCCAGCGCGTCATAAAGAGCATCTCAAACAAACTAAAGACCTTCATTAACAGTTGTCTTCGCTCAATACTCAAGATCAGATGGCCGGCCAGAAAAGATCAGCAACACGGATCTCTGGCAATGAGCGAATCAACACAGCAGGAACCGATTGTGAAACAAATAGGCAGGAAGAAATGGAGATGGAATGGCTGGTCATACTCTGAGGAAACCAACCATCAAGTGACATCACTAGACAAGCCACTGCTCGAGTGGAACCTGAAAGGGAAGCGGCGAGTTGGTAGTCAGTGCAAGGGTGACTTGGAGGAGGTCATGTGAGGAGGAGATGAAATCATATGGGCAGACTCGGAGCCAGATGAGAACTCTAGCAGAGAACTGAACGCAATGGAGACGTGCAGCTGAAGCCCTATGTTCCTCTAGGAATTAAAGGATATTATAATAATAATAGTGTTGTAAAATGGAACTAGAATAATTTCTGAGCATGAGAAATCATCTCTCTGTAAAACAGAAGTCACAAGAACATATGTCTGATGATGGTGATGATCATGATGATTGAAGCGCCAATAGGCTGTGATAATAAAATCATGTGTTTGTAAAGTAAAGTTTCACTTCCGTTTTTCTAAGACTCAAGGTATTTAGATTATGATATAATATCGTCAAGGGGTTAAAGTGTAAATTCTATGCGATATATTCGCAGTTACTCTATGTTAGTCACTTTGAATTAATCCTTATATATATATATATATAATCTTTACATTGGTCTTTAGAATATATTTGACTGAAATTCAGTTATACAGGCTTTATAAGAAATTTGATCCGACGATTGTTATAAATCAATAAGCATAAATATGTAATAATATGATAATAATAATATGTAATCACATTCACCTACTTTTCTCTTTTATGAATGAATTTCTTAATCATTTGAATCGATTAGTTTAAAAGAATATAGGAATATTGATATAAGTATAAAACTTGGGCACTGTGGTAGAGTATAATTCCATTATAGATAAGATTTTATTTTGATAAATCGCACAGTGTTACACAGTAATGTTTACTGATGACGTTTCGAGCACAATTTATTGCCAATCATAATCATATCAAGGTATTCACACGACTTCCTAACTTCATTTATATAGCTCTATTGTTTTTCTCTTGATTTTCACTTGATTTGATTGGTAGTAGTATTTTACATATTTCCGATATGAGTGATGAGTCATTCCTATTGCATGTGTTGGGTGTAGACTCGATGAACAAGGATTCAGTAATCAACCAGCAATCGCAATGCATGCGCTAACACACAACCACACAATAGGGTGGGAGAGGGTTAAAATTCTAAAAAGTAATCTAGGTAGGTGGAGAGAGAGGTTGATTACTGAATCCTGCCTGGTTAATCGAGTCTACACCCAACACATGCAATAGGAATGACTCGTCACTCATACCTGAAATATGGAAAATACTATTACCAATCAAATCAAGTGAAAATCAAGAGAAAAACAATGGAACTATATAAATGAATTTAGGAAGTCGTGTGATGAGTACCTTGATATGATTATGAGCAATAAATTGTGCTCGAAACGTCATCAGTAAACATTACTGTATAACACTGTGCGATTTATCAAAATAAAATCTTATCTATAATGGAATATAGGAATAGTTATTCAACAAACCCGTTGCATTTCTATCTAGTTAACAACTAGTCACAGGTTATTGTATTAAGGCTAATAATGCAATTTGGCTTCTCAAACCTCAATAGGTGGAGACTGGGCGTCCACTGTTAGTTAGGTAAAGAAGGAGACTGGATCTATGACGTTATAAAGGTAAATCGGCTGAGATGGTTAGGATATGTGTTGTGCATGCAATGTTGTTAGCTGACATAGGATCGATGAGGCTGAGAAAGAGTTAGTGTAGGTGGTCAAACGAGAACATGGCTTCATCAGTCAATGAAATCCACATACAGTTAGTTTAGACCAACTAGTCAACTAGTCACGTAGGAAGGTGGTGCAAACTACTTGGGTGAACGGCTGGTTGCTATCTTCGGGATGTTAAGCACCAATAAAGGTTGAAGACAATTGGTGATTTGGCTCGAAGTCATCGTTGTCAATGGCTGATGCGAATGCATTCACTCGTTGTGATTTGTGATTTGTCATATCTAGTAGATTTCTATTGTTCTTCTCACATATTACTACTATTTTTTTTCCCTGACTGACACTTGTGTGTATTATCTGTCTTTTGAATCTGTGTTCACTCTTTTCTGTGGCAAGCTGAACTGGTGCACAACAGTACAAAAGTTATTCTTTGGTGAAATCAATCAGTCCGATAGGTGGATAAGTGTTCTAACCCTTCTCGTTTAATTGAAAGTTGGACGCCTTACCCAATAAACCACAACCTTTAGTCTACTTTGAAGTCAACGAACTTATTGCGTACTAACTGCCCCTTTTTGAACTTTGGTATGTATAGAGTAGTCAATAAAATGAGCATTCCCGTCTTCTTAAATGTAGTATTGATTACTTGTTTGTTGTTGTTGTTGCTGTCGTTGTTTACTTTTGTAGAAAGTTCAACCAGTTCCGCCAATATTTGTTTTTGTCGTGGACACGTGTATTGAAGAACCTGAATTCACTCAATTGAAGGTAAGTAAACAATTTAGACAGTTTGTTACTTACTAATCTCATTTCACTAATTAACTAATGAATGAATGAATGAATGCCAGTCTTTGTTTTATTTTTTAACAAAATTGATTTTCTCACTCTAGGATATACTGAATGTCTGTGTGCATTTCGGATTGTGAGGGCGATTGTTACTTCCCGGCTGCCCATACCGTGGAAGTTGGTTGCGTGACCGCAGAGCCCAAGGGACAACTGTTTGAGGCCGGTCACACGCAGCCTGTTTTTGTTCGTTCTCTTTTGTTTGGTGTGCCTCAGTAGCATATTTATCACTCCTGCCCTGTGACACGGCAGCAGGAAGCGCGATCGTTGTTAATCCGGACCCCGGCCGATCAGGCATGCTATTTTGTGAGTTTTTATGTATCATAGTGTTGGATTGGGTAGCTGCTTTTTGTCTAACAGCTATCCAAACAACCTTTCCGGCATGGAATGACCTTAAGAGACATAAGTCTCAGCCAGTATAACTTGATTAGGTCATTGTGGTGTTCAATCCGACCACCACGTCAAGGTTGCAGCTTTGGTCGGGGGATATACTGAATACGTCGAATGTGTTGTATGTCCACTTCAGTGTTGATATTTTTAAAAATACTAGTCCTTAACTGTCATAGGGTGCAGTTTTCTACGTCGTGGTGTTCACCAAGCTGACTGACGCTGAAGTAATTAAAATTCAAGAGGAAACCTACTTCGTAAGGTTTTTGGGATATGGCATGGTTTCTAGCTTGCTGACCTTACTATCATTTGGAGTCCGATAAGTGCTAGGTAGCCTACATATATTATTGATTGATACGAGTAGTTGGAAACTACTCATGTTAGATAGACATTAGTGATTACTTTCCTTCACGTTCCCAGTGGAACATAGGGAGCATTCAAGCTAGAGGCTTGAAGTTTCTGTAGCAGTGGTGTTTATTTTTTACGGGATGGGGTTGCTAGCCAGCCGCATGCCCAACCTCTTCCCTCTCCACTTGTCTTATCATTGGCTTAGCAAGGCATGACCTGAACACCATGGGGACTATGTAACCCATTTGAAACTGACGTCTTCAGGAGTGTGTCTGGGAAAGATTGAGTTCAAATAGTCGAATCGATTCATAGTGTCCACTTGAATCATTTTTATATTTTTTGTTAAAGTATCGTTTCATTAGGGAACAACAAAAGAATCATGAGAAGTAATAATCACATAAAGGTCATGCATGAATCAGGGTAGTTATGTAAGCTTGATGATGAATGTATAACAAATGAAGTTACAGGATTCATTACGAGCTGATATTGGTTAGAGAATCATTGAGACAACCAGCTACAGGAAGTATTGAACAGTAGTGCCATCCTAGTGCTTGAGACTCTTCATCAGTACGCACTCACCGACCGATGTTCAAACCCAGGACCTTCCGTTATGAGGCGATCTCGTAAACCATTAAACTACTGGGATCCGATCCAATGGTTCATAAATTCCAGCCACTGCTAATTCGTGATATATACTTGGCTCAACTGCCAGTCAGTAGTATCACGGGTGAAAAATGATAAATGAAGTTTTTAACTGTATAGTTCTGAATCGAAATAAGTGACTGTTTCTTTTCAGTTCATCCACTTTTGTTAATGTTCAAATTAGTACAAGATGAGAAGCTATTCAATGGGAATGAATATTTCATCACGAGCCGACATGAGTTAGAGAACCATTGGAAAACCTGGGAGTACTGGACAACTATCTCTTCCTAGTTTGGGACTCTTCATCAGTACGCACCCATCGGGGTTCGAACCCAGGTCCTTCTGGTTACAAGGCAAGCTCGTAGACCATTGAGCCACTACGACTCGATCCAATGACCAGCCCATGAATTCTAACTTCTGCCAATTCATGATATAGCGCAACCGCCAGCCAATGTCTTCGGCGAGTATTTGTCCTCACACCCGACCTGGTGCGCCCTACTGGTCACGACTTCCCACTGGACCCCAGGTAACTACCTACCTGAATAGGGCCAGTCGCCGGGTTCAAACCTCGGTGGTTGCGTACTGATGAAGAGTCCTAAAGCAGGACGAAACAGCTGTCATGTAGTCCCAGGTTTTCCAATGGTTCTCTAACCAATGTCAGCTCCTAATGAAATCCTGTAACCAATCAACCAAATCCCTACAAACCAATACTTGAATATGGGAATGAATATTATCTAAGTTTTCTGTTGTTCTTATATTATAATGTCTCTCTTTCGTACTTATCGAAGGATCTCAGCGTTTGTATAGTGTCTTCCATATGTCGCAACATGCTGTTAACTGTTTGACTGTGTATAACGTGAATGTTGGAAATATTATTGATTTGTGTTAAAATTCATTTATGGGATGATAATCCAGGTTATGCAATAGGACTACTTGCTACTGCTTCCTTATTGCTGATAGCAGTTTTCTTATTGTTGATAAAATTACAGCTTTCCTTCATGAGAAAAATCCCCAAATGAACATTAGGAAAAATAAGACAAATGGTTCAGCAATAGGGGGCTTTTTTTGGCGGATTCATTTTCCTCTCTAGCTAACTGTACAGTTGCATTTATATACAATCGTATCTTTTGTGAAAAAGGGTTGTAACGTAATTGGTGAGTAGTCACAAGCATAGTTGTTAATATTAGTCAATGCATAAAAGGAATTGAATAGGTGCGTCAGAGTTATTACGAAAAAGGATGAATAACGTAATGAATGATTTGTAATCAGGATGCACATAAAGACCGGAAGATGTGGAATTATGTATGAGCACTAAAGAAATACAAGAGTGATAAGGAGTTAGAAAAGCGAGCATATAAAAATGAAGTCAGTAAAAATCAACACCATTGTTACCATGATTTTAGAAGTGGTTGATAGATATTCTTTTGTGTGCACACCTCTGGTTTTTTTCAATTGAAAAGGCCACAGCACCAGCAATGAAGCCAGCAGACGAAAGTGTATTGACTTTAACAGGTTACTCTTCACTTTGTAGATTACTTTGAAAGAGGAGGCGTTTATTGAGATGGAGTGACCAGTGTTGTTGAGGTGTTCGATTATCGCTCTTTATACAGAGTCACTAATATCTTTCTGGAGTCATGTGGGATAGTATTCTTGGCCCCTTTTAGGTAGGATATGCGTCGAACGGCCAATGTACCTGACTCCGCAGCAACAGGTGAACTGATATATACACATAGAAGTGGTCAGATGCGAGATTTTGTCCTTGAGGCATCTGCAAACTAAAAGATACCTAGAGAACACTATTCTTGGCGTTGCATCGAAGAAGGTTTTTCTTAAAAAAGAAGCCGAAATTCTCCTCTTAAGAGATTCATTGAGTAGTTCGTCTTTGAAGTCGAGGTTCATGTAAAGTTTCTTTCTTTTAACGCGTATAACGTCTCTTGTCTTTGGAATTTCGGCTTGATATTCTTGTCAAAAAATTTTGGCGGATATCCGTTTTGAATAAAGATTTCTTTGAAAAAGTGTAATTCCTTCTCCAGAGCATAAGGGCTGCACATACGTCAGACGCGAGTAGCAAAAGATATATATTGTTTTGATGTTAGGCGTTAAGGGGAGTAAATACATGAGAAGGAACCCACAGATTTCTATTATGCACTCATTGGCGATCATCATCATCATCAGTAGTGTGTGTAGGTGTAACCTTTAAGAAAATTAACATCAGATCGATATGATTCGAACTTGTGGCAATCAGTAACGAGTTCAGACTTTGGTATTCTCAGTTATTATGATCGTATCTGACTATCAGCTAAACCGATCTGTGCTCGATAGTAACGAATGTGTTTCTTTAGTCCCTTGTATATTGATTGAGCAGCTATATAGCTCATTAGCTTAAGCCTTCGATTTCCAACCAGTGGGTTAAGATTTCAGATTTCAATCCACGAAATTTTAGCTTGTGCAATTGGCTAAGGTTATCAGACCCTGCACAATAAATGTGGCTCAGTGTCCGGTATGGATTACGTTGGAAGAACAGAAAGAAGGGCTTTTATCCAGTTAACCAAGCATATCCCACGAAACTTATGTTTGAAGGGAAGCAGATATTCTCAAAGTGCACTTACCAGACACACCTTATAGATACAGGGGTCATTTCATCGCGATTTCTAAATCCTTCAAAGTATTAAGCATATAACAGACAGGAAAATTACTACAACTTGCTGAAACAGTTGCAATCAAGCGTTTCAAACCAAACATTTGCATACGGAAAGAGACTGTAGTCAATCTTTCATTTCCTTGGTAACTAACTGTATTTTGATTACATTAATTAGTCAATCACATTAGCGATTTCAGCTCGCTGAGTAAGTTCGCAATCTTATGAAATATAAAGTTCTTGTATGAAGGATTTCATCATGCGCTGACATCAGTTAGAGAACCACTGGAAAACCTGGGAGTACAGGACAGCTGTTCCGTCCTAGCTTTGGACTCTTTAGCAGTACACACCCACCGGGGCTCGAACCCAAGACCTTCTGGTTACAAGGCTAGCTCCAAGACCATTCAGCCACTGGGATCCCATCCAATGACCAGCCCATGAATTCTAACTTCTGCCAATTCACGACATAACGCGACCATTTCACAATGTCTTCTTTGATGAGTTACTGCCTCATCTTCGACCTGCTGTACCCTACTGGTCACGGCTTCCCACTAGAACTAGCTGTCCAGTACTCTCTGCAGGTTTTCCATTGGTTCTCTAACCAATGTCAGCTAATGATGAAATCCTCCGTCCAATCAAACTAAATCCCTGCAAAAACCAATACTTGGAGATATTATTTTACACAACAAATCTGGTCTTTCTTTCTCCCTTTATTGAAATTTATCAAGGGAACCAAGTGTAACGAAAGTAACTGTTGTATTATTATTATTATTATTACTGAAATCTTTCAATGAAGTATTTACACTGATTCATTTTGTTTATTTCCAATTTTTTGTTTACATCAGGAATCCATCCAGCTGTCGTTGAGTTTTCTACCGCCTCAAGCATTAGTCGGTTTAATCACTTTTGGGAAAATGGTACATGTTCATGAATTAGAAGCAGGACCAATTGCTAAATCATGGGTATTTAAAGGAACAAAAGATTACACAGGAAATCAAATTCAAGTAAGATAAAACATAAGACATAAATCGTATTTAGAAATTTTTTTTCGAATATGTATGCAGCTTACATGCTGTGTTATTTTTGTTTACTTTACGGATTTATCACGCCACCTCTGTTGTAGACGTGATATGCCGCCAGTTATCGATCAAAGAACGTGTCTACTGCGCAGCAGCACTTCGGTCCGTCCTACTTTATGCCTGACTGTGAGCGAGACATGGTCATTGAAAGCGGAAGACATGAAAGGGCCTGACTAGCTAGCTGTCTTTGATCATAGTATAACGACAGAAGACAAGGGCCTGGCAACAGAGCGATTATTGGGAAAATCAAGAAATATTTTTAGATTTCTATGTACATTATTATTAGCGTCATTGTTAGCAGAGAAGCAACGTCTTCTGATTGATTGTTTTCCTGTTGAAGGTTATTCTGTCTTCTCTTTGTGGCCGTTTCTTAGAAAGTCAGGCCATGTATCGGTGAATCGTATTTGCACACGTTAAGTCTGCTGTGGTGGATTGTTGACTTACTCAAGGTTAGGCCTTGTTATTGTTTTTTCTCATGACCCTGATTCGGGACGTGACATTGACGTAAATTGTTGTTTACAATTTTTGTCTTGCAGCTAGGTCTCACTACAATCAAGGTATGTGTTCTATCTCTCGTGTTGGGTGGTAGGTACATTAACACGGTGACTAATATTGAGGTTAGGCGTCGAGTTTTATCTAAAGTGACATAGGTTGAGATGATTACCACATGTGTTACGCATGCATCCCGCTGGGCATCGGTCGCCTTCGTTGACTGACAGTCAATGTTAGCTGACATAGGATCGATGAGACTGAGAAAGAGTTAGCGTGGATAATCAAACGGAAGCATGTCTTCTTGAGTTAATGCAATCTGTAACAGTTTAAGCCATCCAGTCACGTGGGAAGATGTAGACTACTAGTCTGGCTGGTTTAGGTCCTCGGGATGATAGGGACCAATGAGAATGTCAAAGAAAATTCTTGGTATGGCTGAAAATCATCGTTCCCACTGATGACTATCATTTCGTCAAATTGACTTGCATCTTTGTAATGCCTAACCGAAAAATTGTTTAATGGGGTCTATCTTTTGGATGTCGGCTATCGTCTAATGCTTGCGGGTGAATATCACTAATACGACCGATTAGAATAGTATCGGATAGTCAAATTGTACTGGTCTACTGTATTCGTCTAAGTTATCTTTTATTGCCTGTTGATTAGTTTTGATTGGACGGAAACACTCGGTTTGTGCTAACCTGTCAGAAGCTCTTGTGGCCCAGTTGCGTAGTACATAACACTTTAGTCTTTAATGAAATGAAAGGTGTTTGGTTCAAGGTTTAGTGGAAATATTATTACTCACTTGTTGGGGATTTGGATACACCCACCTAACGAGTTCCAAATAGTGCAGGACGCGCATTGTCTACTCATCATCAGCCAAATAACGCGAGCGATTTATACTAGTCCATCAGAACTTAGTTACCTGCATCATATTTCGTATGTACCACGGTGTTGTAATTCACACATGTATTATGTGTATGAGTTAGTGAATACATTCAGATGTCCAGACGGCTGGTTGCAATGTTGGGATGCAGACTGGGGATACATTGGCAGGTTAGTCCATTGCTTGAATTAATGAACGTATTTCCATAGTCATTTAAACACTACTTACTGATTGAATATAGAAAACATGAAAATACTTGAGAGATAATATTCCTTTTTGTAACAGTAGAGTATTTAGAATCTCATTGACACGAAATTATTCGAAGTACGTACCTAGGTGAATATTATTTAAATAGTTTCCATTCAGTCATCTAAAACAAACTCATTTCGGTATCAAATTATTGAGAATCTGTTTCAGAGTACTTTGATTGGACTGTAGTAGTTAGTAACAAGTATCATGTATCTAGTCCCTCATTTTTGCTGCAGACTGGATTTTATCAGTTAAGTTTTCAACCTGACCACAATGCTAGTTGGTGGCTCACAATCACGGTGCACACTCTGAATTGTTATTAATAGATAATCAGAGGCAGTCGGCCACAGGAAGCTTTGCTCGACCTAGGCCTCATGCCTATTGGCAATCGTCAAGATAGTATGTAGCTGCAGTCTTGAAGGGGCTCATGTCATTCCTGAGATTCGAACCTGCGTCACCTATTACTGCAGTCTGAGATGTTACTACTGAGCTATTCGTGCTTGTGATTCACCTCCTGTACGGTTGTTATGAGTACACTTTGATTGGACATTAGTTAATAGTGTCATGCGTTTAATCGTTTGTTTGGTGAGGAGCGAACTATGTCAGACAGTCATAGGCGACACATTGATTCATTGGTCTAAGTAGTTAACTTTAAGTCAATGGAGTGGGTGGGGGGATTCGAACTCTGTCTTACTCGTCAAGATTTGAACAACCGATTAACATCAGATCAATTTTTATATACTAGACTTATAGACTTGGAGACTTGGAGCGGGGTGAAAAAGTTAGCAGAAAACAGAAGGCAATGGAGGTACGCAGCTGAAGCCCTATGTTCCTCTAGGAATTAAAGGATAAAATAATAATAGATACATATGGATAGGAGGGCTCTGCACTGTACTATCTGCGTAGTAGAGATTATTATTATTTCTTTTAATTCCTAGAGGAACGTAGGGCTTCAGCTGAACGTCTCCATTGCGTTCGGTTCTCTGCTAAAGTTTTCCCCTGACTCCAAGTCTGCCCACATGCTTTCATCTCCTCCTCACATGACCTCCTCCAAGTCACCCCACCCTTGCACTGACGACCAACTCGCCGCTTCCCTTTCGGGCTCCACTCGAGCAATGGCTTGTCTAGTGATGTCACTTGATGGTTTCCTCAGAGTATGACCAGCCAATCCATCTCCATTTCTTCCTGCCTATTTGTTTCACAATCGGTTCCTGCTGTGTTGGTTCGCTCCCAGAGGTCCCTATTGCTTATCCTTTCCGGCCATCTGATCTTGAGTATTGAGCGAAGACAGTTGTTAATGAAGGTCTGTAGTTTGTTTGAGGTGCTCTTTATGACGCACTGGCCAAGTCTCTGATCCGTATAGTAACACTGACTGACTTCACATTGGAGATTACGGACACAAATTCTAAGAGTATGCATTGCTGAAGATAATGCATAATATTTTGATCTGTGTCATTCTGAAGTACCCTATATAGATAATTTGTCTAAATATGCATTTATTGTCTACACAAGCTGTATAGTGTCAAAAAATTTCCCCCCACTTCTTTAGGTAATGCTTGGTGTTGGTCGTAGTTCTTTTGGTAATGTTGGTCAACCGGCTACATTCAATGCTCGTCCTAGTCCAGGTGTTAAAGGTGTCTACGGTGCTGCTGAACAACAATTTCAACCACCACCTCAAGCACAACCACAAATGGCTCAGTTACCATACAATAGGTAGGTTTATTATTATTTTGTTTCCCCTTTCCCCATTATTATGATATCGGTTATAGAATCACTGGACGCCTGTTTCGTCCTAGCTTGAGGCTCTTCATTCCACAGACACACAAGCAACAGTTAGCTAGAAGAAAATAAGGAAGTGGCTTAGTGTTGAGTAACAATGCAGAACTCATTCCAGATTGTTGTTCATCACTGAAAATCTCAGTCCCATTCAGCACTAGATTTGCTTGTCACTTAGTGTATAAAGAAGTATTGAATTGTCAACAATGACAAGTAGAAAAGAAACAGAGTTATATTTGCCTCCAGTTACTATAACAATTCACTCCGTTTTTAAAAATATTCAAACAGGGGTGACTGTGAACTTCTTAATGTCATATTAACTTGCTACTTTTTTATTTTGTTTAAATTAAGGGTATTTTAAACGCTTTAATTCAACATGTATACATTTCTGGCTTTATGTTTGGTAAAATTATAAATAATATCATTGATAGCCATTTCTTGAAGACATATTATACATGATCTTAGCTCAGAGAGCCAAGAAGCGATTCCACAGATGATTTATGTTTAATGTCACACAAACTCGAAGACTTACGGGCGAAAATTAACAAACTGCCTGAAGAAGGAGACGGCAAAGACAAGAGATCAGGTGAATGTAGAGAAAATGGAGATGATTAAGATTCTCGTGCACTAACCACCAATCACCATCATTGGGGTGATCCATCTGCGCAAATTGTATCCGCCCACGCCTAAGTCTGCTGTGATTGGTTGTTGAGTTCCTCAAAGTTAGCCTTTGTTCTTATTTCTTCTCATGACTAAGATTTGAGATGTGAACATTGACGTAAATTGCTATCTACCGATTTCGGCTAGCAGGCAGCTCTGATCACACCTTCACTTATTATTTAAGAAGCGTTGTTTCTACCACTGGCGATAGCACGAATGAAGACGTCAAAGCCAGTTGGAATCAGAAAGGCAAGGTATGGCTTCATCAATCTGAAATCACTTTGGGAATTTACTGCACTCAGGATAAAGAAAAAAGGTTCGGATTTTCAACACCAACGTTAAGTCATTTTTTCTACATAGGTCAGAGTAACTTGGCCAGCGCGTTATGTAAAGCAAATGCGACAGGCCATGGCAGAGTTTTATCAACAGCTGCCTTCGCTTCATACTGATTATCAAGTATTAAGCCAGAAAGACTCGTCACACAAGAAACTATGAAAACAAACTAGCCAAGAACTGATTGCTCAAAAATTAAGATGCGTGGGATACACACTGAGGAGATCGTCGAATGACATCGCGCTGAATTCAGGCCATCATTCGAGTGTAACCCCAATGTGAAACAACGGGTGGGGCATTGGTTCGAGATGAGAGACTATGGGCAATCATAGGGTCAGCTTAAGATGAAAGTAGCAAAAATAGAACAAAGTGGAGATGTGTTGTTGAAGCGCCCTGTTGATGTTCCACTAGGAACCCTAGGAAACAATAATAATAATAATATTTCTTAAGGAAGTTTTTTTCAGAATCCTTCCAACCTGGAAAGTCAGCAAAGGATATGAAACTCCTAACACCTGTGTTCATCCCAGTTAAGAAATCCTCATCTAAAAGCATTTAATGAGACTCAGTCTTTAAACGTCACGTGTAGCCCATTGCCTGTCAGCTGCATATAAATGCAGCTATGTTGTGGAGTAACACTATTTCGTATACAGGTTCGTGTCTTATGCTACTTTAGCATAAACCGTAATAATAGACAGGATGCAAAAAAGCATGAGCTCGAACTCTAAACCGAAACCGAAATAGTTAAAAGCAAACCAGTTTTTATCTGTCTAGTCCACAAAGCGGAAGAAGTATCCACAAGAACCGAGAAAAGAAATGGAACATTGAAATGAACATTTCCCGCCGCCAGACTCATTCCCCTTTACAACACTGTATGCTCGTTAACCCAGTCAGAAGTAGATGAGTATCCTGCAATTTACCAATTCACCTACACTTGCGGTAGCTAGGACATATGAAGGACTCAAAGGAGAGCTTCTATTGGATTCGCAGAGCGTATCCTTAAAAGTCTCCGTATGAAAGGCAGTAAAGTGTTCTCGAGTGCAATTGTCAGACACCTGACACCGAACACAGTGTGTAAATAAGTCAGGCTTTCAAAACAATCAATACACAAAGGAAACCATGATTACTTAGAATCGCAGAAGTCATTTCTATCAAAAGACTTTGACCCAACTTGCTTTACTTTGCTCTACTTCGGCTATCTCCTACGGGAGGATGAGCCGGCTTCATGAACGTCTCGAATCATCACTGCTCAGGCGCGGCAATTTGTAAGAGAGTTCATGAAGTTTCATGGGAATTTGGTACGAGTGATGTCCCCAGAATCGCTCGGCCTTTTGTTTGAGAGTGCAGCTCTAGCCTTTACACAACCAAGTGTGACCTACAAGGCAGTAGGAGTGGAGTAAAGAGTCCACTATCCATTGGCAGCCGGTGACCGGAGTTCGGTTCATACGCCTTTTTGAATGGGGCCAGGCATCCAGGGCATCCAATAAGCCCTTTGTCCATACGTCTGCCGGTGAGCTTCATACGCCAGTCGTTGGAGGTTTGGAATCAGGGTTTAGCCATCTCCCCTAGACTGTCATCCAATGGACAGTCAACCCGGTGGAGAGCGCCGGGCATCCGCTTTCGCCCTCTCACTTTGGTGAGAAACACCTCCGCCACGTGAAGGCAGTGAGTAGGACTTCCTCAGGAGAGGCTATGTAAGACGCCCGGTCATATGGGAGCATTTCAAGAGGTGTGCGGAGGGGTGGCCAACCCGCAGCGCGAAACACCCACCCCCGACCATCCTGAGGCTTTGGAGGCTTTGACTCAACCCATGCATACAAAAAGGTAGAATGACTAATCTCTCTCGTCACCCTTTTTTTAACACTGAATAATTCGTCTACTCACATCATTTTTGGAATTATATTGCTTATACTTTCTATCTAGGACTCGAAGTCGTCGTATGTTCTCACAACATTTTGTAACTTATAGTTTGATTTTGTTAAGGATGTACGAAGTTAATGGGGATCCACGATATAAAACGAGTTCGTGTTATCCTGCAAATAAGTTTGTTCTTTCTTTATTCAAACTCTGTTATTAAGTGTTGACTACTAAGTCTTGCGTAGGTCTTGTACTGATCTTCTATATTCTGCTAAGCTGGATCCCTTCATTTTAAATGGGTATTTACAATTTTTCTAATTTGTGTATATTTCTATTCAAGTATTAGTTTCCAGGGATTTGATTTGATTGGTTACAGGATTTCGTCATGAGCTGACATCAGTTAGAGTACCAGGGGAAAACCTGCATGGAGTACTGGACAGCTATTTCGCCTTAGTGCTTGAGACTCTAAAGCAGTACTCACCTACCAACGGGGTAGGAACCCGGGACCTCCTGGTTACGAGTCGAGCTCTCCTAGACCATTAAGCCAATGATTCCATGAATTCCAACTTCTGCTCAATGGTCTACGAGCTGGCCTTGTAACCGGAAGGCCCTGGGTTCGAACCTTGTTGATGAGTTTGTACTGATGAGGAGTCCCACGCGCTAGGACTAAGCGTTTATCCAGTACTCCCTGCAGGTTTTCCAGTGGTACCTTTAACCGATGTTAGCTCATAATGAAATCATGTAATCTCTGTTTATTAAATTGTTTATATTTCTTATCTTGTTGAATCTTTTCAGATTTATTCAACCTATGGAAAGATGTGATGCTGTATTAACTGATCTACTAACTGAACTACAACCTGATCCATGGCCTGTACCACAAGGTAAACGTCCACTTCGTTCAGTTGGTACTGCATTAAGTATTGTCATTGGTCTACTAGAAGCTACTTATCCAAATACAGGAGCTAGAGTTATGCTATTTCTTGGTGGTCCATGTACTCAAGGTCCTGGTATGGTTGTAGATGATGATTTAAAGAATATTATACGCTCTCATCATGATATGGAAAAAGATAATTGTAAATATATGCGAAGAGCTATGAAAGTGAGTTTAATTTTTTTATTAGTCTTGTTATATAACAGGTTATCTGATAATAAATATATTCGAAACTGCAAATTATATATATACTCGGTGTAATATGCATCTCTCTTTTTTTTGTTTTAACGTGTGTTACTCAAAGACTTGCACTACTATGAATCCAGGACTCATTGATAAAGCGTGATACAACACTGACTGACTGGTTTCAACGTTAGAACTTTGCATCGATGTACATCAGTTCAAGTCGACACACTCCATATAGCAGAAAAAGCAAAAGGGGAAAGTATAAAGAAGCGCAAAACAGAGACATTTAACACAGAGATATAAGGCAAAAAGAATAGTAATTTTGAAGATAAATATAGTTTTATTGGGTATTATAAGTTCACTGAGAACGATTTTGAACCATATCACCAATTGTTTCCAGCTATTGGTGTTTACCATTCTGTATACCCCAACCAGACAGCAGTCCACACCTTGTACGTGACTGGCTTAAACTAGCTGTTGTGGATTTCACTGACTGATGAATCCATTTTGGTTTTAGTTTTGACCACCTTTGGCCTTCTCTTTTTCCAACCTGAGCCTATGTCAGCTAATAGTGCCTGTCGGTCGAGGAAGGCCATGGCTAGGATGCATGCGTAACACATGTTCTAACCATCTCAATCGATGTAGCTTCACAGCCTCGTCGAATGATTTCCCCTCCCTCCCTACCTAGCATTCGACCGATGCCTGACCTCAATATTGCTTATCCTATTATACCACTTCACACGGGAGATAGAACGCAGACACATATGCTCTAACACAGCTAGCTGGTGTTTTCATGTCTTCCACTTTCAATGGTCAGGTCTCACAGTCATAAAGGAAGACGGAACAGACCGCTTCTGAGCAGTGCACACGCCCTCTGGTCGACAACCGGATATCACGTAATACGATACACCTGGATAGAGTGTTATCTAAGAGATCATACGATGTTGCTTCAAATTTTCTTAGATATCTTCATTAACTAATCTGTAGGTGTTGTAACGGAGTCGTTTGTGTTTTGTTTAGTTGTCATCTAACTTGACTAGAATGAACCTGCAGTCAGGACACTGTAACTAACTTATCACTTAGAAATACCCCCTGTCTGTCTGTCTGTTTACGACATAGAACTTTGCACAAATGTGCGGAGTTCAAGTCGCCACACTCCGTGTAGCACGGGAAGCAAGAGAAGAAAGTACAAGAAAAGCATAATAGAGACACTGAGCAGAGGTGCGAGACAAAGGAATAGTAGTAGGGAAGAACAAAACAGTTTCATTGGAGATCATAAGTCACAAGGAGTGGATGCATCTGCGCCCCTGAGAACGATTTTGAACCATGTCACCAATTGTTTCCAACCATAAATTTTTACCGTCCCGAGGACCCCAACCTGGAAAGACTTCCAGCTCTGCACCTTCCTACATGGTTTAGACTAACTGTTGTAGATTTCATTGACTGGTCAGGCCATGTTTTTGTTTGACCTCCACTAACTCTTTTCCAGCCTGACCCTGAATCCGCTAACATTGCTCATCGAAGAAGGCGATGACTAGGCATACGTAACACATGTCTTTACCATCTCAGTCTTTGTAACTTCACAGCTTCGTTGATTGATTTCCCCTGTTTATCTAGAACTCGACGCCTAACCTCAATATTGCTCACTTCACACGGGAGATAGAAGGCAGGCACCCCCTCCCCCGTACACTGAGGTAGACATACAGAAGTCAGGTTTAACTGTGACCACAGTAACTTTATTATTCACAATATAGAGTAAATCATTCTTTACACATCAACAGAAATTGAAACCACAGTTAAATAATCAGTATCTTATTGATTACATCAATCATGATCTTATGGCTAACAATGATAGTTCATCCGTCTTAACCGTAGGAATTCGATTTGTTTCAAGTTTGGTCACAGATTTATATCAGTTAGAGAACCATCGAAAATCCAGGAGCACTGGATGGCTGGGTGTTTCTTCCTAGCTGGCGGTTTTATGGCTGTGTGATTCACTGGGGTTTGAGCCCAGGACCTTCTGGTTGCAGTAAACTCCGCTGAAAATCTCGTATATATTATATAAACATTTTTTAGAATAAAGTTATTACTATTATTGTTATTATTAGATATACAATATTGTACTTATTTCTTATTTACCTACCTTTCTTCAATGTCTTTTTTCTCCACGACTCACTCATTTGTAGCATTATGAAGGCTTGGCTAATCGTGCTGCACAGAATTTTCATGTTGTCGATATATTCAGTTGTTCACTAGATCAGACTGGTTTGCATGAATTACGGTATTTAACAAATTACACCGGTGGTCATATGATTATGGGAGATAGTTTTGCATCAAGCCTGTTTCAACAAACCTATCGACGTGTATTTAACAAAGATGCATCAGGTTCCTTTTTAATGGGATTAGCTGGTCAAATGGAAGTGAAGGTTAGTTTCAAGTTCAGATGACTGATCACTGTCTTGCCTTTATTATGTATCAGCGTAGAACTTTAAAAAAACATTTCATGTTGCTGCACTTCATATAGCGCACACATAGAGGTAAAGAGAAAATACAGAGAAACTATAATAAACGAAAGTATATATGCAGGAAAATGAATGACTACATAGACAATAATAAGGATTTAATGAATCTTGGAGATTGCTAGGAGTGAATGCAATCTGCATCATTAAGAGTGACAGCCATGGGTTCTTAGTACCTCAAAGACCTCATTTGGACAGTCTACACGTTCCCACATGGCTCAAACCAACAGTTAATCAGTCTGTTGAAATTGTTTGGGGCGATTAATTGCTTACACTAGTCCGACAGGACTATCCTTGATTCCCAGACATAGCTGGATGTCTAAGTTATCCCAAACAGCAACACACCGTCAGCGTCCTTAATTACCTATGGAATAATTTCATCAGCTCTTACTGCTTTCTCTCATTCCAAACTAGAGACAGCCTTTGTAACCGCAATTACAGATGGATGACCGATGTGTACATCTCATTCAGGTAGGTGTTGGATGGTGGGAAAGTTCAATGTGGCTATAGACCTGTTAATTTGCTTCTTAGAATGTGCCTTCTAACGTTCCAGTTGTCTATCCTGAAAGCTAATAAGTGGGCAGCCATTTTCCTAAGAGATTGTCTCACTTATCATTTGCCTTTTGCCACGTGTTTCCAAGTGTTCTCAGCGAGCCTTGAACTTTGCACGAATGGTTTTAAATGCTGGATTCTATTGCCTACCACTACCAACTTAGTAACTTGAGAAGACACGTTGACTAAATCGTCCGTAGAATAGTACATAACTAGTCACATTTCGCACAAATACATTTCTTATCAATCAGAGTTGAAGTGATGTGACAGAGCTTCATTTACTAATGATGTATTTAGTCAACTCTTAGACCGTAAACTCTCAGTTCTAGTTGTGTACAGTAGTTTGTGCTTATTGGGGATAATCTGCTGGAGGAAAGTGTCTTAAATTTGTTGAATGCAAAATGTTATTTATCTTACATCATATTTTATCGCTTTGTGTAATATTTCACAACAATTTGATTTCATTTGTGCAACTATTTTGAGCTTATGTGTACAATATTCCTATTTTATGTAAATCTTAATTTTGTGTAGACATCTAAAGAACTCAAAGTCTCTGGTTGTATTGGACCATGTTTCTCGGCTAATGTGAAAACATCAAATACAGGCGAACAAGAAATTGGTATAGGGCGTACTTCTGTATGGCGATTAAATGGTTTCACACCATCCACCACATTAGCTATCTATTTTGAAGTGGCCACCTCATCCAGTGGAAGTGGTGCACAAATTCCACCAGGTGGTAGGGTTATGTTCAATTTGTTACGCAATATCAACGAGCTAATGGTCAACGAAAATTACGTGTCACAACAGCTTGTCGTAATTGGATTGATTCATCAACACAATTGCCTCATATGATATGTGGTTTTGATCAGGAAGCCGCCACAGTGTTGACTGCTCGTATGGCTATGTTCAGAGCAGAGACAGCGGATAGTGTTGATGTACTACGGTGAGTTAGTTTTTGTTGTCACTTAGTTATACTACTGATTTCATAAATTTAGTAATATATTGTTTTTATCTTTATTATTTACTGTCGTGACCGAGAATAGTACAGGGTTCGAGTTCGTTCCATAGGTATTTCAACGCACTACACTAAATGACTCATCAGTCAACTTCTATTCCCACACTGGATAGACACATAGGACTGTATGAAAAAAAGCGAAGATCTATTACTCCTGCTAAAAGGCAATAAGACTAAGAATGTTACTCACTTCGCTTGACTGATAACTTATAAGTTTAGGATATGAAAACTGTGTTCTGATTGAATGGATACAGAAAAGTCCAAATTGAATTAAATAGTAATTGATACCTGTTGCATAAGAAAGAGGCAGTGTTCTTGTGGTTCTAATGGCCTAGTTGATAACGCCTAGACGTTTGAAACTATGGGTACTGGGTTCGAGCCTCACTGGGAACACCATACCCAATCACGCACTAGGGAATGCAGGTACAGATGATGGGACCCAAATAAGACAGCTGCTAGTCACCACCCACCAAATATGCGTTGGTCTACTGTAAAAGATATTAGCCATTATTCTACTGATGAGAGTAACAAACAGAGTGATTAGGCTCCGCCGCTCCGGCGGTACATATACTAAAATTGGAACGATACAGAGAGGATTGACATGGACCATGCGCAAGGAAGGCATGCGATATCGTGAAGCGTTCCATATAGCTCAGTGGTAACACGTCTCACTACAGCACTGTGTGACTCGGTTTCGAATCCCAGAAGGGACATGAGTACCTTCAAAATTGCGGATGCATCTATGCGTCGGTGGCACAGCGGTAGAATGCTAGCCATCCACACATGATATCTGGGGTTCGATTCTCGGTCGCTACACTCTTTTACCTGGCTAAGCCAAAAATAAGACTGGTAAGGAGGGAAGGTTGGGCATGAGACTAGCGACCCCATCCCGTAAAAATAAACACGACTGCTACCGAAACTTCAAAGCTCTAGCATGAAGCCCTATGTTCCACTAGGGACGCAAAGGAATAGAAAGGAAGACATATTCATCACCGTAAAAGCATCAGTAACGATATGTTACATAAACAGAAAAATTACAAACAAAGCATCTGACACTATTCCCTAATCGTCCAAGTTTGGACACACCTAGATACACACTCGCACATACTCATATGATGTAGAAGGCAAGACGATCACAGTAATGACCGGAAGCACCAACGAATGCATCTGTGTTAATGGGATCAGTTTGAAACGACATTATAAGTAGATTCCCCAACCATAGGTGTGATCAGTCACATTGGCTCCTAGTCATTTTATGAAACTTATAGTTTCGTATAGGTCTGAACTCCGTAACTTTGCAGTTCAGGACTGTGTCTTGGTCTAGCCATTTGTATCTGAAATTATCTTAATGTATGCTCGTACACTCAATAATATTCTGTTTTACGACTGCCATGTTGCTACTTGACAGTTCGAAATACAGTAGATGATGATAGTCGGCATGAGCTTGTGAGAGGGTCTTCTTAATCGGAGGTCGTGAGGTGTGTGGTTCACCCAAACAGTTGTGAAGTCTGATGTTACTGGATGTTGACAGTGCTGTGCCACAAATTGTCAAAAGTTGGAATTTTAGAATCACCTGATTCCGACCCATTGACTGAATGATAATGTATTCTCTGTTATTAATATGAAAATGCTAATTTCGATATTCCTGGTAGGGTTAGGGTTACATACTGCCGAAGAGCCCTAAAGTGGCGCAAAACAGTTGTCGTTAGTTCTCTGTCTGATGTCGGTTTTGTGACAAATTAATTTAACATAGTTTTCAATCGTTCGTTCTTCTTCTCACCTTTCTTGTTATTATCATTATTACTGTTATTACTATTGTAGGTGGTTGGATAGACAATTGATTAAATTATGTCATAAATTTGGTGATTATCGTAAAGATGATCCATCATCATTTCGATTACCGGATGAATTTTCCTTTTATCCACAATTTATGTTTCATATGCGACGTTCACAATTTCTACAAGTGTTTAATAATAGTCCAGATGAAACAGCTTATTATCGGTAAGTTCACCTTATATATTCATTGCTTTGTGTATATTTATTACCTCTCCTGCATTTCTCACTCTACCCTCTACAGTCTCTTTTAACTGGCTTCACAATTGTTCATAAACTTGCATTTCCTTGTAACATGTGATCACTCCCGTGTCACTCTCATTTCCTACTGGAGTTCCACATGTAAGCCTGCGTCTTGGTGTAACTCAACAGTCTTCCTAGCCTATGTCCAATCTATCTTGGTTCTCTTCTGCATATTTGATGGTTGGTTCATTGTCGCTTATCGCTGACGAAATCTTCACATGGATACAGAAGGCTCGTTGGGCACTTGCCTGTCGGTTTACGCTGTCTATAGCTTAGTAGACGTGAAATCCGGCTGGTTGTCGACCAAAGGACATGTGTACTGCACAGCAACAGTTTGCTCCATCCTCCTTTTTGGTTGACTGTGGGCGAGACATGACAGCCATTGAAAGTGGAAGACATGAAAAGGCCGGCTAACTATCTTTATTATTCATATGTGTCTGCTTTCTATCTCCCGTGTTAGATGGTAGGTGCAGTAACAGGGTGTGTAATATTCAGGTTATGCGTCGAGTTTTAGCTGAAGCTACATCGGTTGACACGGTTAAGACATGTGTTAGACATGCATCCCTGGCCATCGATCATCTTCGTCCTCTGACAGTCAATGCTAGCTGACATAGGATCAATGAGGTTGGGAAATAGTTAGTGTGGGTAGTCAGGTGGAAGCGCATGGCTTCAATGAAATCCATAACAGTTAGTTAAGACCAGCTAGATAGCCAGCCAGGTAGGGTGTACGCTGCTTGGTTCTTTGAGGTCCTTGGATGGTAAGGACCGATGAAGGCTGAAGACAATCGGTGACATAGCTGAAAGTCATCGTTATCGTCAATGGCTGACGCAGATGCATTCATTCTTTGTGATGATTGTCATATCCAGTATAACTCCATTGATTTTACATATTGTTATTCTTATTCGCTCACTGACACTTTGGTTTATTTCCTCTCTTCTGATGAATCTCTGTTTACTCTTTTCTACGGCTTTGGGTTGTACGTGGAGAGAGAGAGAGAGGCAAGTTGAACTGGTGTAGGCGTGACTTCCGGCTATCAACCAAGGGACGTGTGTACTGCGCAGAAGTTCGCTCCCTCCTCCTCTACGGCTCTGAAACATGGCCAATACGAGTTGAAGACATGAAAAGGTTGACTGTTTTTGATCATAGATGTCTACGATCTCTGTCTCACGTTGGGTGGTTTCACAAGGTAAGTAATGTTGACGTTAGACGTAGAGTGTTGGGCAAAGAGGGAAAATCAATCGACGAGGCTATAAAGTTACATAAATTGAGATGGCTAGGTGAGGTGCTGCGCATGCCTAACCATCGCCTCGCCCGCCGACGGGTATTACTAGCTCATTGATATAGGTGCAGGTTGGAAAAGAGTAAGTGGTGGTGGCCAAACAAAAACATGGCCTCATCAATCCATGAAATCCTTGACAGTTAAACTGACTCAGGTAGGGAGGGAGATGCAGACTTCCGGGTTGGGGCCCTCGGGACTGACTCTAAGAATCAATGGCTGGAGACAATAGGTGACTTGGATCAAAATGGTTGTCAATGGCCAGCGCAGATGTATTAAGCCTCTGTAATCTTTCATATTTCTTTCTACCATTACCCATTCTGTTTCGCTCTTATACTTGTCAAACTCTATTGATTCTCTTCACTCATCTTCTTGTCTACCTTTGTGTGCTATTTGGAATGTGGCAACTCGAACTTCTGCACTTCGGTGGCAAGTTCTATGTTGAATCCAGAGAGACCAGACAGACAGAAGTTGAACTGGTGCACATCAGCTCAAAGTAGTTCTATGTCAAACTAGTCAATTTCGAACGGATTCAATCAAATAGACTACCAAACACTTTAAAATAAATATAAAAATGATTTCTTGGTTAGAAGAAGTTTTCTTTTCTTTAGTTAATAAAGTAAGAGGTAACTAACATTTCGTGGCAAGTTTTATTTCAAGTTTTGTTTTTTCTTACTTCGGTGTGTTTTTCTTCTCTATTTGAATAGTCATGTTCTAAATAAAGAAGATTGTTCAAATTCCCTACTGATGATACAACCATCGTTGACATCATTCAATTTGGATGGTAGTGAGGAGCCGGTTTTATTGGATTCAAGTAGCTTACAACCAGAACGTGTACTCCTGATGGATAGCTTCTTCTTAATCTTGATTTACGAAGGTGATACTATTGCTAAATGGAAGAAAGCTGGCTATCTGGTAAGCGCCTCTTTTTATCCTTTGCTTTGCGTGTACATATTCATACATCCTATTTGTTTTTAGTCCACCCCAGAAGGTCTTTGTTAAATTGCCCTATTTTCTACTCTTTTCTGCAACTGTACTCATGGTTGTCCATAACTCCTCATATCCTCGCCACACGATCTTCTCCGTGTCACCTCGCACCAACGTCCCACTTGTTGTTTTGCATTCAGGTTCCACTCGAACGATGACCTGCATTCAACGCGATGTCATTCGACGGTCTCCTCAGTGTGTGTGTCCGATCCGTCTCCACTTTTTCCTACGTATTTGTTGAACGATAGGTTCTTGGTTGGTTCATTGCCAGTCAGAGTTTGTTGTTGCTGATTGTTTCTGGCCTGCCTGCCTGCCAGCCATCTGATCTTCAATATAAAGGCAGAGAAGGCAACTGCTAATAAAAGTCTGGAGTGGCCTGTTTGAAATTCTCTTCGTGATGCGCAGTTCAAGTTTCTGACCCACATAAAAGAACTGACTGACTAAACGTTTGTATTGAAAATCCGAATCTCGTTCTTTATGCTGACTGGGTGAAGATTTCCAAACCGTCGGTGGCACAGCGGTTAGGACTCTCGTCGACCATGCACATGGTTCGGGGTTCAATCTCCTGCCGACGAACACCTGATATCTATGATCGGCCTGAGAAATTTGGGCTACCGATATCAAATGCTGAAAACTCCATACTTCTACCAAAAATACGGTGTGGCATCAAGCTGTAATCTAAAAATAAAAAAATGATTGATGAAGGCATATCTTACCTCTGTGATTCTTTTATGTACTGGTCGAGTAATTAATAGTCCTGACGCAAGAAGGCGGAAATCAGAAAACCACCAGGTTCATGATGATACTTGTATTTTTCAAAACAAGGAAAATCAATGTCACATTTTTTAAAATTTTTTTTTATTTTTGATTACAGCTTGACTCCACACCGTATTTTTGGTACAAGTGTGGAATTTTCAGCGTGGATATCGGTAGCCCAAAATTCGCAGGCCGACCATAGATATCAGGTGTGCGTCCGCGTGGCCTCGAACCCTGGACCATGTGCATGGTCGGCGAGAGTCCTAACCACTGTGCCACCGACGCACATACAAACTCGTGATGGAGGTGGGATTCGAACCCACGCCCTTTCGGACTGGTGTGTATGAGCGAATGTTCAAAAATGAACGAATCAATAGACAGTCTTAACACATGATTGGTTGTAATGTCATGTGACAACAAGGTCAGGCAGGCATGTTTGTTTAGTTAGTGGACAGACAAAGACATATTGTCAATTATAATGGAATATCGATCCATATGTGGATACATATCAGATTCTGACTTTGACATCTCTTCATCCGTTCGGCTGCCTGTAGTTGAAACGATGCCTCCTAGATAAGTGAAGGAAGTAACTCCTTTCAAGTTTACTCTGTTGATAGTGATTGATGCCTCTTGTTACTGGTTGTGGTGTTGTTGCTGGTCGATTATTTTTTATCACCTCCGTCTTCTCTACGTTCACGTGGATTTCTGTTAAATAAGACACGGATATTGGGGTAATAAGAAATTTCTGTTAGAGAAAGTCACATGAAATTAACTTCATATGACGATGATCTATAAGTTATGCTCGAAACCTCATCAGTAAGTATTCCCCATTAACATTGTGAAACTTCATCAAAATAAATTTTGTCCAGAGTGGATTTTATACTCTACCACAGTGCACAAGTTCTATTCTTACCTATAATTTCAGCCGTCTGTAGTAGTTCCATGATGGATAATGTAGTGATTTTTGAATTGTTTGAACTATGTTGTTTAAACTGAAATTTATTCATTTGACCTGTGAAGGTATATATATGCGTACAATACCTGTATTTTTATTCATGTGAATATCTCAACTTACATGTAGACCGCACTAAACAAAAAAAACTCCCATTCGATAACATGGGTGTGCGATAGGATTATACCTGTCAGTTCAAAAGTTCGTTGAACTGATTTAGTGAATGGTGACCAGCGATGAAATTCAGGATGCGCATTTCGGCTGTCCTATTTCAATCTCGTCAGCTTGATGGTGTTCCCACTGAGTGAGGCTTGAACTCAGTACCCATAGTTTCAAATGCCAAAGCGTTATCCACTGCATCACTTGCACCACGAGAGCGGCGTCTCTTTCTTGTGCAACAGGTATCAATTATTATTTAATTCAGTTCGGATTTTCCCGTTGATTGACTAAACCGAAGTGTTCAGTTCCGGGTCGAGATATGTCGTCGGCTCTTTTTTCGTGTGCTTCGACAATGTTTGAGGACTTAACTTGAATTAATTTGATGGATGGTGACTAGCAGTGGAATGCAGGATGTGCATTTTCTCGTCCTATTAAGAGCTCGTCATCTGGATGGACTACTGATAAATCTTGTCACAGAAGCAGATGCCACGTAACTAACAACTTTGTTTATCTGCCACATTGTATCCTTCAAAAAAAATCGTCAGTGTATGGCATACTGTTTTTTAATCACAAATTTGTTGTATTTTTTTCTTTCAAACCCTAATTTTTTTTAAATTTTTTTTTCTTTCCTGTTTATGCGTGTAAATTAGGATATGCCTGAATATGCGCATATTAAACAGATACTGGATAAACCAAGATTAGAAGCTCAAGAATTATTGAAAGTACGCTTTCCAGTTTCACGATATGTTGAAACCGAGTTCGATGGTAGTCAGGCAAGATTTTTACTATCCAAAGTCAATCCATCACTTACACATCATACAATGTATTCATTTGGACAGGTAATTCATGTATATTTTGCTGTTTAATTTTTCATCTTGGTTGTTTCCAAGATCATTTATTATTTATTATTATTATTGTTATTCCTTTATGTTCCGAGAGGAAAATGAGGCTTCGATCTCTAGAGCTGTAAGGTTTCGGTAGCAGTGGATTTGGTTCTACGGGGGGTGGGAGTGCTAACCTCACACTAAACCGGCTTAGAATGGTTTAGGTGTGCCTTGTTGGGCGGGAATTGGTCCTTGGACCACGTGTCTCATGGATGGCGAGCTTTCTACCGCTGAACGAACCACCGGCGCCAATTCTTGAGAGTTTCTCATCTGTATAGTTAATTGAATATACATTTAAGTTTGTGTAGTATTCATATGTAAGCTCCATAAATAAATAAATCTACTGTTAGGGGACTTAAACAGGAGTAAAACACATTTGCACACACTGTTCTAAAGCAAAGTTAGTAAAAATCAATATCTACCGTAATATACTACTTATACTCACGTGGACTCATTTGTCATTTCATATAATAAGAATATCGATCAATGGACTAACTCTTGAAAATTAATCTAATGCTCGCTATTGTGGGTGAATGACTCTATACAAGAGAAAGTTGCCTGGAGCTCTTTCTCGTGAAAACTTGTAACCAATGGGGTCCACCATCAGGTAGGTCGACGTCGTGTGAGGAGAACTATTCACACCACCGATGATATTCACCATTGCCAGTCTCGCTTAAAATCATGAATTGGTAGAATTTGGGATTCATGGACTGGTCATTGAGTCAGATTCCAGTGGTTGAATGGTCTACGAGTGAGTTAGCCGGAAGGTCCTAGGTTCGAACTCTCGCGTACTGCACGGAAGTCCTGACCACTAAGATGAAACGGCTGTTCAGTACTCCTTGTTGATTATCAGTCGTTTTCTAACTGATATCAATCCGTGGCATAGCGGTTAGCACACTCGCTGACCATGCACATGGTCCGGGGATCGATTCCCGGCCGGCGCACTCCTTTACCTAACTGAGCCAGAAATAATGCTGGTAAAGAGGAAAGGTTGGGCATGAGGCTAGCAACCCCATCCTGTAAAAATTAAACACTGCTACAGAAACTTCAAGCCACTAGCTTGAAGCCCTATGTTCCACTGGGAACGTGAACGAAAAATTATTATTATTTATTATCAATCCGTGGGCAAACTTAAAACATATCAAATCCGTACAAACTAACTCCTCAAGAGATTAAATGTAGTGCCAGTTAACTCAGTAAACCATAGGTAAATGACGGATGAAAACGAGTGTAAACTCAACCTTCACATGAAAATAAAAACTAAAAATTTGTAGTATAAAATGATATCATTCTATTTCACAGGTTCCCATCAGCTGCCACTGACTACCTGAAATTACAATGGTTTTATAGATGATAATAACATACTTTAATGTTTCAGTGGTAGTAGAGAAGAGGTACTATAAAATTGACGCATCCAAAATGAAAGCATTACGATTTTTTAAGTTTAAGTTTTCATCATCAATTTATACGCTTTTAAAGTTGAAAAGGGGGGGGGAGTAAGACAGAAAACCTCTCACTCCCTTGGTAACTGAATTTTGATTTTGATTAGTCATCTAATTCAGTGATCTCAACTCACTGAACAAATGTTAATCTCATAAACTGTAACCGCTTTTGCCTTTTGAGTTGCTATGTGAACCTACAAGCTAACACTGTTCTGTTAATCGATTTTTCTGTTTTCTGTTTTACCCCTCCCCCCTCTTTTTAACTTTAAAAGCGTATAAATTGATGATGAAAACTTAAACTTAAAAAATCGTAATGCTTTCATTTTGGATGCGTCAATTTTATAGTACCTCTTCTCTACTACCACTGAAACATTAAAGTATGTTATTATCACCTATATAGCTATTGTAATTTCAGGTAGTCAGTGGCAGCTGATGAGAACCTGTGAAACAGAATGATATCATTTTATACCGCAAGTTTCGTCTTCCTTTCTTCATCGAAATTTATCAAGGGAACCAAATGTATGAATTTAAAAAAATTTGTGTGGATGTTAAATATCAAGGCTAGTTGTTAAGTTCTTTTCTGATTATGAATTAATGGTCTCCAAAAATTCTGAATGTATCATCTTGTGTCAATGGAAGCTTATATCTTTCTGTGAAGAGTTGGCTGGTCAACATCAAATTTACTCATGTGTATTATAGAGCTGATAAGACAGCCCAGTGTTGTATGTATACCATCGTATAGTAACGAGGAAGGACTAGAGACTTGGAAACGGACTTTGTTTTTATTAAGGAAAACCACACTATGTTTATTCATATTTATCCATATTTAAAGTCGCCTAGTTCAACAAATGAATAAACTGTTCTGATTGGTTGTTAATTTCTGAAGGTTAAACCTTGTGACAAAATGTTATCCACTACAACGTAAGCTACTGATATGCATTATCAGTAGTATATAGACGCAGATTGACAAAATGTAGCGCCAAATTGAAAACAACATTCTAAATCAGTGGCGCAACAGAATTAGAAGCAACATAAAAATTCCCATTGGGTCATATATAAAAGAAAAGGCGTTCAGCGAGGAGTCACTCTATTTTTTTATATGACTCAATAAGAATTTTTAAGTTGCTCAAACGTTGCAAGGACCCGGTGACAGTGAAGAAGCTGGACGGCTTTCTGCTCTACTACTCCGTCGAGCTTGTAGTAGTGAATGCAGAGATACAGTTCTTAAAAGAATATCTAGATCCGAATGAATATGAAAAGATGTACTGGAAATCAATCAGACGCAATCATATTCATCCGAATACCAGAACACTCAGGTGACACACACTAAACAACATTGTCTCCATCCAATCATGTGTCCCTGAACGAGAGCGAAACGTCGATTCACGAGTTCATGCAGTCTATGATTTAGGTTAAGAACTACGAACATCCTTCGAAAAATACATCTAAGAAGTTACACAGAAACAATGTGATAAGATCAAGTCAAATCTATTTAAAAGTCTGAAATTGACGAGTAATACTGAACGGGACGGTATTAAGGCAAGGCTGTCTACTATTGCCAGTGATTTTCCTGATTGCAGTAAGTTGGATAATGCAACAGACAACGGGCGATGAGCAAACAGAAAAATGAACCACAAAAAAAATTGGGGTGTCTTCCAAAAAGAAAAAATGAACCAGTTTAAAAACAAAAAAGAAACCGTAAAAATAAATATAAAGAGCACCTCAAACAAACTACAGACCTTCATTAACGACTTTCTTCGCTCATTACTCAAGATAAGATGGCCGGCCAGAAAAGATCAGCGACAGGGATCGCTGGCAGTGAGCGAACGTAGGAGGAACCGATTGTGAAACAAATATGCAGGAAGAAATGGAGATGGATTGGCTGGCCATACTCTGAGGAAACCAACCATCAAGTGACATCACTAAACAAGCCGTTGCTCGAGTGGAACCCGAAAGGGAAGCGGCGAGTTGGTCGTCAGTGCAAGGGTGGGGTGACTTTGAGGAGGTCATGTGAGGAGGAGATGAAAGCATGTGGGCAGACTTGGAGTCAGGGGAAAACTTTAGCAGCGAACCGAACGCAACGGAGACGTGCAGCTGAAGCCCTACGTTTCTCTAGGAATTAAAGGATATAATATTAATAATATACTGAACGTCCAATATCAAACAATCCAGAAAAATACGTACTTAATGCGTCATACATCAAACTATCAACACTTAAGCTTGTGAATGATATCGCCAAAAAAACGAAGCAGAAGCGTTTATTTCTCAAATCTGGATCTAGCCTACGTTGTAATGAGAGAATAATCTGAAGGTTTAACCTTCAGAGAAAATCAGCGACCAATCAGAACGATTTACTATGCTCTGACCTAGACAACCATAAATGTGACTAAAAATGCACGAACATGATGGTTTCCTTGGGTAAAAATGTCCGGATACCAAGTCTCTTCTTGCCTTCTCCTATTACAATTCTACTTCTCTAGCTACTGACTTAAAGTGTTGTTTTCAGTTGTCTACCTGCTATCAGTCTGTGCCTATATACTACTAATAAATCTTTTCAGGGGCACATGCCACAGGTGTAACAACAGAAGACAAAGGCCAAGCAACAGATCGTTTATACAGGAAATCAACACGTATTTTACATATATTTCATGTACATTATTATAGCTTATTCAAGCAGACAAACACAGTCTTCTGATTGGTTGTTTCTTGCTCAAGGTTATTGTGTACTGCTTGTGACTGGTTTCTCAGAAAGTTAGGCCATATATCTGCGAATCATATTTGCCCACGTTAAGTCTGTGATTGGTTGTTGAATCAGTCTTGTTTATATTTTCTCACTGCCAATATTAGCGGCCTAGACATTGACGTAAATTAATGTCCATCAATTGGCTAGCAGCCTGCTCTCATCACACAGGTATTGTTGGATCCGTGTCCCAGTTGACTAACTGCTAGTCCGTTCATCAGTCTGGTGTATCTTTTTAAGGCTGGTCCGCCTATTTGCTTTTTAATTGTTTTCATATAAAATTGGTTATGTTATCTGTTTCTATGTGTTTTGTTCAGTTACAACCAGATGTAAGTTGTGTGTGTGTGTGAGTGTGCTAATTAATTTGCAGTGTAAATTTAATTTTATTTACCTATGGGTTCGGTTTTTCTTTTGCGTGTCTCTCTCTCTCCGTGTATCCTCGTGTACAAATACTCTTTTTTCAAAATGTGTGTTTCCACTAATCCCTTTTGCCTCTCTCTCTATTGCTCCTCTCTGTGTAAGATTCTCAATGTATATTCGTTTTATTTTTTTAAATTCTATTCCTTTACGTTCCTAGTGGAATGTAGCGCTTCAAGCTAGAGCTTTAAGGTTGCGGTAGTGTGGGTTTTTTGTACGGAGTGAGGTTACTACCGCCCTGCCCAACCTCCAATCTCTACTGCAGTTATTTCGGGATTAGAGAGGTTTACGAATGCGTTGGTGGCTGGGGATTGAACCCTGAACCTCCCACTGTTCCACTGACACACATCAATGTATATGGTTTTCTAATTGCCAAGCTTTTTTTTAATAATTTAGCAACAAAATTGGGTCTATTCAACAACTGGAAACCACCGTTAGAAGGGGGGGAACACAGTTTGTCTTCTCGATGGTTCTTACAACTTTTATTTTGTAAATAGCGTTTAGATTTTCTCAAGATGGCTAAGTCGTTTCTCATCAGTGAGGATTTCGTTGCAGATTCTAACTATCCTAGTTAAATGTCTTCATGTTTCAGTGTTACTAAGGGTCCTTCTACACTATTTGATTTTAAACATACATGCATATCTTCAAACAAGGGACGGCATGAGTGAATTTGTGTGCAGTTATTACACAAGATGCTTTTTGTTTGGTTTACTTTCCAATCTAATGGATAATACATACAAGTTGGAAAGCGCTAATTTAGTTAGTCTCAGCAGAAGATAATTACACATACAGTAGATGAAACGACTGAAATGTCTGTAATGTTTTCGACAGTCATATTTTTTCCCCTTTTTGTATAACGACTCAGATAATACTGTCTGTATGCTCACTAACTAATGCAGATGTTAATATATGTGTAAAACTTGGACACTGTGGTAGTAAGTAATTCCATATTAGTTTGTTTATTAGACGTATCACACAAACAGTGAAACAGTATTATTTACTGGATGACAAAGTTTCGAACAAAATGTATCGGGGTTCATAATCATATCAATTTTGATCACACGACTATGAAATTTTAGTTTTATAGTTCTCGTTATCTTCTCCTATTTGTAGGCATAGGGGTAGTAGAATTTTCCAGATATCCAATTGGACAGGTGTTGAATCATTCCTGTTACATGTATTTGCGGTTGATTCGATAAACAAAGCTTGCGTTATCAATCTCTCCCTCGCTCCACCCTGTGACATTAGATTTTAAAACTGTCATCCTATCCCATCCATTCTACTATATGGTTGTGTGTAACTGCATGTAGTGCTATAGCTGAACTACTCTCTAGATTTCTTATCTTATTCGGGTCAACCAATCTAGATTTTGCTACGTTTTTATGTTCGGCTAGTCTGACTGCCCCTGTTCTACTAGTTTGACCTATGTATTTGACATGACAATCATTGCAGACAGGGTATTAGATAAACTCTTTGTTTTAAAGGCTCCACAGGATTGATCCTTTAACCAACAAAGCTTGTTTCTAATTGGGTTTGTGGTTGGTTTGAATGCCATTTTTATTCTTGCCTTGTTAAGAATTCTTAGAATAGACACATTATAGAAGTGTTACTAACTAGTGTCCAGTCAAAGTACAGTCCAATACAGCTTCCTACAGAGGAGGTCAACTACAAGTTCCAATAACTCTTCTGTGGTAACATTTCTGACTGCAGTACCTGGGAGTGACATGGGTTCGTATATCAGGAAGGGCATCAGTTCCTTGTTGACTTGTGAGTGTCAACAAGCAGGCAACCTAAGTGCAAGGCTTCCTGTCAGTTGCCTCCAACCATCTAATATATATCAAATCTCTTGATATCTGTATTGCAGAAAGTTTCCCTTCAAATGATAATATAATAATAATAATACGCCAATGCTAACCACCAGTGAATATGAGAATTGAGGTCTGTATTTCTGTCTTCCTATGTATATATGACAAATGGATCCTTTGCAATATGATATATGAATTTGAGGAAAAACAATATTTGTTAATGCATAGAACTGAAGTTTTATTATACTTTAAGCTTCATCGTAATAAACATAATTGTAGTGCAGTCGTGGTGTAACAACAGAAGATCACAAGGGCCAGGCAACACATCATTTTATTACGGAGATCAGCACGTATTTATGTATATTTTATGTACATTATCATAGCTTATTCAAGTAGACGAACGCGGTCTTCTGATTGGTTGTTTTTTAGATTTCTCGGGAAGTGGAGCCATCTATCTGCGAATCATATATGCGCACGTTTAAGTCTGCTGTGATTGGTTGTTGAATCAGTCTTGTTCATATTTTCTCACGGCCAATATTAGTGACCTAGACATTGACGTAGATTAATGTTTACCAATTGACTAGCAGCCTGCTCTCAGTGGTAGAGTGTGTCGAACAACTACTACTTATCCTAGTCTGGTAACCCCTGGCACGAATCCTACAACCTTTAATCATCATTTATTAGACAAATCTTACTTTGCTAATATCATAATTGAAATGTTAACAGTTGCTAACAATGATCAATTTCAACTGATATAATCACGGAACTAGCAATAAAGAAAGTAGAGTTCGTTGGAACCACTGTTTAGTGAAAGAAAACTTGATATAGTGTCGTCTATATGATGTTCAAACTTCTTAGCCCTTATAACAAAGCAGGTGATATAAAAGGATCTAGATTTCATGATTGATCGCCATCTGATATCATTTAGTGAATCATTGACCTTATAAAGGAGGTTACCACCTGGGTTTCCAGTGAGAAGTCGTAGCTGACGAGGTCTATCATGTCAGTCAAGAGAATAGTTACTCGGCTGTGATACCGACTGGCGGTTGCGCTATATCTATTATTATTATTACTGTATCCTTTAATTCCTAGAGGAAAATAGGGCTTCAGGCGTGCGTCTCCATTGCCTTCACTTTTTTGCCAACATTTTCACCCCGCTCCAAGTCTGCACACACGCTTTCATCTCTTCTTCACATGACCTCCTCCAAGTCACCCTCACCCTTGCACTGGCGACCAACTCGTCGCTTCCCTTTCGGATTCCACTTGCCAGTGATGTCACTCTCTTGATGGTTTCCTCAGCGTATGGCCAGCCAATCCATCTCCATTTCTTCCTGCCTATTTGTTTCATAATCGGTTCCCGGTTGGTTCGCTCATTGCCAGAGATCCGTGCTGCTGATCTTTTCTGGCCATCTGATTTTGAGTATTGAGCGAAGTCTGTGATCCATATAGTAGCACTGACTTCACATTGGAGTTGAAAATTCGGATCTCATTTTTTGATGCTGAGTGCTGTTGACTTCCACACAGACTTAAGAGTAGTGAAAGCTTGTCTTGCTTTTCCGATTCTGCTTTGATATACTCGTCAGTTCCGCCTGTAGTTGAAAAGATGCTTTAAGGTTCCTCTTATTTATGCTGGCTGATTGTTGTGTGTTGTTGTTGCTGTTGGTGTTAGCCAGGAATCTTCATAACTATAACTGTCACAAATTGGCAGAAGTGAGAAGTCCTCGACTGACCGTTGGGTCGTTTCCCAGTGGTTGAATGGTCTACGAGCTCGCCTCGTAATTTGATAGTCCTGGGTTCAAACCCCCTCCGCTGTGTATGCTTACTGCTGAAGAGTTCCAAGCACTAGGACGACACAGCTGTTCAATATGCTCCCTGTGGCGGGTTTTTCAATGGCTCTCTGACTGATGTTAGCTCGTAATCAATGCTGTAATCAATCAAATCTCTGATTATTTAGATTTCGACAAGGAAACGAAGTCAGATAACACGAAAAGTGAAAATATGTTTTATGAAATAATAAAAGAGAAGAAACTGGGCAGATTAGTTTTCTTGCAAGGGAATATTTATTTGAGAAACTCGATGAATAAATCAACTTCATGTGTATTAGAGTTAGGAATAATGGAGAATATTTTGCTGCTCATGTGGATATTTTTCGATAGTTGTGATCTCTCTCAGCTGAATAGTTTATTTGTGAAGCTTGTCGAGATGTTGGCGTTCAAACACTCGGCTTCCAGTCAATGGGTACTTGGTTCGAGTTTAATCTCACGAATCGTTGAGGCCGAGTGAATGGGGAAGGTAGTATCATAACATAGTATCTCACTGATTCCATTAACAGACTAAGAAGTTTTCATTGTCCTTCTAGACGACATCTGAAGTACTAAATTTTCTAAATCACTCAAAGGCGAATTGGTTGGTTCTCACGGTTCTGTTTTAATCGACATTTTTGTGTTCATAGCAATGTCACATCTCTATGATATTTCTCTAGGAACCTTTTTTGACTAAATCAAGGGATTTTTCATAAATCGTCAGTGTAATTTCTTTTCACATAAATGTTAGTGTACTAATGTGAATTTTTATTATACAGGCTCTCTCCAACCTTTTGCGTTGAGATGTGCTCATTGTGTGTGTGTGTGTGTTTATGTGTTCTACTCCTAATTGTTTTTTTTAAAATCTGCTTCTGCACTAAATAATAATAGTGATATTCGATTCTGTGATTGCTTTATCCTACTATTATTACTATTATTTCACAATCATATGTTCTTGTACATGGAACACTGCTGTTTGATGTGAAACCTTTCGCAACTACTCACATCAATCAGTAGTAGTATGTGTATACTTTCAGAAAAAGTTTCCTATAATTTTCTCTAATATCTATGGATAGGGTTGTATACTTGATTATTATTATTCCATATTTATGTATACAAGGTAAGTTATAACACAAAGAAGTTCCTGACAAATGGTTCATCAGTTTATGTAATCCATTCATACCTGCCTGTCTCTTTTTTCTGCTGATGTCTTGACGACGTTACATCATTTCTAAAAAAAATGAAGTATTAAGTTGAATGGTTTGAACGTTATCTGTCATCTGTAATTGTTTGTGAAACTAGGTAATATATAATGGTACAGTAGGTGCCATGCAAAATATTAAGTCGTTTCATCCAGGAGACAATAAAGGATGCTCTGGGTGGAAAACTCCGACCTCCGGAACAAACTAGATTCACGAAAGGCAAATCATATGCTGATCAAAGTTCAGCTCTACGCATTGTTATCGAATTAGGCATGGAGTGGCAGTCGAGCCTCTACCTCAGTCAACTCCGTTGACTTTGAAAAAGCCTTTGACAGCGTTGGTCGTGAAGTAATTTGGACACTGTCTCAACGCTATGGCGTAGCTGAAATCTTTATCAACTTCATTCAATAGTTAAATGACACTACCGCGTGTCAGGTGATCCACAACAAGCAACTCGATGAAGCCTTTGAAGTGAATGCTGGATTAAAACATGGTTCGCTATTATCAGCGATGATACTTCTTGTTGTGGTGGACTGGATTATGTGTCAAACTGTAATGGAGATAGCCAACCTACAATAAGCACCAATCACTATCAGTTAGAGAAATTTGAAAGAGGTCACTTCCTTAACCCATCTCGGAAGCATCGTTTTAACTACGGAGAGGCGTGACTGATGGGGATGTCGAAACAAGAAACCGAAAGGTGAGACATACCTCATTTCATCACCGTGAAATAAGTTTGGAAATCTTCCCACTCAGGATAAACAACTAAATTCGGATTTTTTAACACCACTATTAAATCAGTTCTCCTACATCGGTCGGAAATTTGGCTCATACGTGTCACGGAAAGCATTTCCAACAAGCTACGGAAGACCTCTATCAACAGATGATATCACTAGCTCCATATTGAAGATAGAATGGCTGGCAACGAACCAACCAAGGACCTGTCGTTCAACAAATATGTAGGAGAAAATAGAGATGGATTGGACACACTATTTAGAGACCGCGAGAATGGGAAACAACGAGTGAGGCGTTGGTTGGAGATTGACATAGTCGGAAATGAAAGCTTACGGGCGGTCGTGGCGTCAGCTGAAGAGGACTGCAGAGAATAAGATAAAGTAAAGGTGTATGTTCTTTCTGGAATCTATTACACGACTAACCACTCACCCATTTCACAATATTTTGTAATTGAATTCACCCCAGGCCACCACGTTTGTCACATACATACCTACTACTTATTTATTTTGTCACCCCATAAGTAATCTGTTATTCTACGTTAAAAAAAGGGATCACTCACCACATAACTAACTGGCCATTATTGTATAACGGTAACACATATTATATTTTATATTCGTAAGAAACTGAAAAGAATATTCTTCATTTGAGTTGATTAATAATATCTCTTTATCCTTATTTATTTCAGTCATTCATAATTGTATGTGTATTTGCGTGTGTCTATGTGAATCCTCGAATTTCTCTTATTTTTTTCTCAGGATTCGGGTAGTGCTGTACTCACAGATGATGTATCGCTTCAAGGCTTTATGGAACATTTGAAAAAATTGGCAGTCTCTAGTTCTGCATAATCTCTACACACAGATGAGTGTTCCGTTCTTTAAAATATTACGGACGACGCGACAATACCACTACTACTGCTACTACTACTACTAATAATAATAATAATAGTAGTAATATTAATCTAATGCTCATGGGATACCAATCAATATACTTTGTTGACTTCCTTATATACTTATATATTTCATTTCTGACTTATATACATAAAAAAGTGATCACATATATGCCGCCATAGCATGTATTTGAATCTTTTTTGCTTGCTTTGTTACTTTTTTTGTCTGTTTTAATTATATTTATTTTTGATTTTATTTACTCTTTTACCTCCTCAATTACTCACTCGCCTTCTCGATATCACCGTTCCTACTTTTCCCCACTCTCACGACGTGTCCCTTTGCCCCCCCTCCTATCCATATTAGACATAAAGGTGCTAAGGTACTTGTTGTTTTCTATGAAGAAGTGATTTTGGTTGTTTCTCTTTTTTTTTCTTTCGCGTTCTACTGACATTCTTATTTCAGTAGTATGTATTTTGTATGTAGATATATATGTGTTGGTTAATGTATGTATGTATGTGTGTGGGTGTGTTTGTATGACTGTAAATGCGTTTCCAATTGGGTTTTTATCTTTATTTTACGTGTAGATGACATTTATTTAGTTGGTTATTTATTTATTTATTAAATTGCGTCGTCTTACACAATTACCAAAATGCATACAGTCATACGCGCGCGCACGTACGCGTTTGTGCATACAACAACAACAACAAACCATTTCCCCCCGCCTCCCTTATTACGTAACTAAATCGGTCGTTTGTTTTTTTCTGTTTTCCATTTGTGCGAACGTGTCTGTCTGCTGGGTTGGAGATGGAGAATAAAAAAATTTGTTTTCATAAATAAATTTACATCTTCATTCACATTTTTTAGTTGGATGTCATAACCAACCAACACATGAGTTGATGACATCATTAAAAAATAAGGGGAGCACTGATTGGATAGTTGTTCCATCGTATATTTGGACTCTTCAGAAGTGTCTGTAAGTGGAGATTATAAGATTGGCTGAAAAGAGTCATTACCTGCACTCAGTCATTCACTCTTTCAGTTTAACTCTCTGGATTCAACATAGAACTTGGTACCGAAGTGCACCAGTTCGAGTTGCCACGTCTAAATAGCACACAAAGAAGAAAGAAGATGATTGAAGAGAATGTTATGTAATGGTCGAGAATTTAATAGTCCTGACGCAAGAAAGACGGAAATCAGAAGGTTTGCGATGATACTTCTATATTCCAAACCACAAGGAGAATCAAAATGTCACACAAGAGTGTGAGAGCAAAAATATAAGAATGTCCGAACAAGTGTGTGAGCGAATATTCAAAATGAACAAATCAATAGACAGTCTTAACATGATTGGCTAATTTAATGTCAAACAAAACACATATTATATGGATATATATATCAGAGAATCAATAGAGTTTGACAGGTATAAGAGTGAAACAGAATAGGTAATGGTAGAAAGAATAGAAAGATTACAGAGACTGAATATATCTGCGCTGGCCATTGACAACGATTTTGAGCCATGTCACCTATTGTCTCCAGCCATTGATTCTTAGAGTCGTCCCGAGGGCCCCAACCCGGAAGTCTGCATCTCCCTCCCTACCTGACTCAGTTTAACTGTCAAGGATTTCATGGATTGATGAGGCCATGTTTTTGTCTGGTCACCACCACTTACTCTTTTCCAACCTGCACCTATATCAATCAGCCAGTAATGCCCGTCGGCGGGCGAGGCGATGGTTAGGCATGCGCAGCATCTCACCTAGCCATCTCAATCTATGTAACTTTATAGCCTCGTCGATTGATTTTCCCTCTTTGCCCAACACTCTACGCCTAACGTCAACATTACTTACCTTATTATACCACCTCACGTGAGAAAGAGATCGAAGACATCTATGATCGAAAGTAGTCAACCTTTTCTTGTCTTCGACTCGTATTGGCCATGTTTCAAAGCCATAGAGAAGGAGGGAGCGAACTGGTGAGCAGTACACACGTCCCTTGGTTGATAGCCGGATGTCACGCCTACGCCAGAGATGGTGGGAGTCAGCGAAAGCAGCTCGAGCTTTTTGGATCCGTGGTGAGATTTCGTCCAATCAATCCGTTGGTGCTGATACAACTTCCCAAATAGGTGAGTGGTCAACATGTTCTATCACTTCACTCCTTATCACTAAGCTAGGCGTTGACCTTTTACGTAAACTGCTTGAAGTTGTCGATGAGTTCGTGTATGTGGATGTTGTGTGAGTGCTGGCGAAGGTGTGACGGACGTGCTTTTCAATCGTATAATGAAAGCTAGAGTGGCATAGACTAATTTGAGCCACTTCTGACGATGTTATCCTGGTTGTTGAAGTGCGGATTTAGAGTTTATCAGTGAGGGATGTTTTGCTTTATCCTTTGAATCCCGTCGTCTCCCATCTGAGGATATGCGGCGGCTCTGCGTATTCCATCGGTGGTATCATTGTGTGAGTAATTTTGAGTTCCAGCAGCGTGTGTTTGGATACAGTGGAGATCATCATTTATTGAATGTCGGCATCTGGAGACACCGACTTCGGTGTCTTGGCTTGTACATGTACTACGAATGTCATCTGAGAGTCTTCTGTTTGTTGGTCCTTGGGGTGAATGAAAAAACACGGAGAGGTGGTCAGCTGATGATATGGAGTCGTAAGATGAAGGATATTCGTGTTACGCTGTTGTCGGCTGTTGCGTCGTGACTCCTTGGTCGAGGTTTGAGAGGTAACTGGAATCGGTGGCTTGAAACGTTATCGGATATGCCGAAGTATCACAACCAGTGGTGAACGTCTTTCTTTCTGACAATAACTCGATGAATCCTGTTTGGTCTTGTTAAATATAACTGCTTTCTTCCCAGATGAAGTCCTTTATTCATTCTCTACCTATTTATTTTCATAGGTTGTTTTATTATTATTATTCTTGTGTGACCCATTTTCTTGTTGCCTATACTATACCAGGTTTTGTGTTTTCAATAAAATGAACACATAACTCTTCAACAGTTTGCACCCACGACTCTTTTGCCCAACCAGGAATCAAACCTGTGATCAGGTGACAAGGCTAAACTCGTTGACTATTCAGGCATTTGGATTGGAATTCAATGATGTATGAATTCTAACTTTTTCAACTCGTGAGTTAACGCTACCCTTAACCAATCGCCTTCGATGAGCATCCGCGTTACCTTGACAAAATCGTGAACCTCATTGGTCACAACTTCTCAATGTAGCTACATGACACACATCCAATGGCCATCAATGAACTAAAAATGGATATATTTACCTTATGAGATATGAAGAAATTCAATTTCTGATAGCATCATGAACTGATATCCTTTAGGAGGATCATTGAACAGCTGTTTTGTCGTATTTTGGGACCCTTCATCACTACGCACTCGTATGGTTGAATAGTCTACGAGGTCATCTTGTAGCTGGAAGGCCCTGGATTTGAATCTCGACGAGTGCGTATTACTGATGAAGAGTATCAGACTAAGACACGACAGAGCCTCCCAGTACTCCTTGGTTTCCCAACACTTCTATAACTCTGATTTCAACTTGTCGTCGAACCTGCATACAACTCATCAACTGAGTGTATATGCAGCTTTAGGGAGTGATAGCGTCTAAGGTTCTGATGAGTCGCAAGTACGACGAAATGTGCATCCTGTATTCCATTGCCAGTTATCATTAGCCAAACAATATAACTTAAACTATCAGATATCGTTGAAGTGTTTTATGTACTAGAAGACGGCATCTTAATAAAAACCAAACGTTTCGTCCCACTATCATTCAATGAATAGGGAATACAAAATAACTTCGATTAATAAAGGTTGTTATTCACGAATTGTGCTCATAGTACTTAGTGTTTCTAACACAATCAACGTTAATTCTGATGATGATAAGTATTGTAATTGATAGTGGGACGATGAAATTGGAAGGTGAATTCAGCATCTTGGTTGATGTATTAAGTGAAACCAGAGGTGAACACTTAACGCTGTAACGACAAGGATAGTCAAAAATTGTATCTACTCGACATAACAGCACATAGCAGAAAAAAAGAGAAAAGGGAAAGAAAGAAAACGTTGTACCTGTAAATGATATGAGGAGTTGGAAAGACGAGATACAGTTGTTCTACTGACTATTTAATAAGCTAAAGGTTTCACGCCTAATGTTTTCTTTATCGCACAGAACACGAGCTAAGTAGGGTATGGTTGAGTTTTTGTACTTACTAGTGCGAGCATATAGTTTTCTATATAGACTTCTGACTTTGCTTGATGAGATAGATACAAGGGGAGAGTTGTGAATGAAGAGTGTGATGTGAGTTAGATAGGTAGAATGGATTTCGCCCATTTTTCACATGAGTCCAAGTGTCTGTCAACCAGAATATTAACAAGCTGGTTAAGTGGCACGCAGCTTATCCTGCTGACAACCTTTAACATCCTACGTAATAAGGTATAGTCTTTCTTCAGTAGCCAGCCCTGGAGAAACTAAGGGGGCACAATAGAGAATAATGTGCAGAATGGAAGAGTTAACGAATTGTAGGAGTAAGGGTTGGTTTGGGTTATATCAGAATGTCTTTACTTCTTGATGTAGAAGGTGGTGAGACGGCATATTTTCTTAGAAATCATCAAGATATGAGACGACCAGGAAAGACCAGCAGATAGAATGACGCCTAGGTATTTAATTTCTGACTTGTTTTCAATTTCAGTGCCATCAATGTTGCACACCTGGTGAGTTCTAACCAGTTTGTTTAGGCCAGATTTGTGCCTAAAGGTGAAATTAAGTGTTTGGCATTTGGAGGGGTTTGAGGTGAGACCGTTTTCCTTGGACCGTTGGCTGATTTCTGATAAAAAGCCATTTTGTTTAGTCCAGTCACTTTGACATTTGACAGGCAAAGATACAGTTAGGTAGTCAGCATATTTGACAAAATTAATGCCATTTGAAGATGGTAGGTCATGTAGAAAGGAAGAAAAG